AGAAAAGACGAATTAAAAACATTATTTTAAGACAAATTTAGAAGTTCTAAAGTGATTCGTAAGAGCGGGCCAAGATTTGGCTTCTATTTTTTTCAAAAGCCGGAATTAAGGTCATAGGAAGTCGTTGATATTTAAGGTAGGGACGGAATATCGGTTCCTCTTAACGAATTGGTGCCAAGATTAAATATGTTTTCAAGTATTTTGGGTATTTCCCAAATTAAAGACTTTTAAACCATAAGAATTATGATTTAATGCATTGGTTTTTTAGGGTTGTTCCTGTTTATTTAAGTAAACTGCTGTTTAGCCTGCGTAGCAGGAGGCGCTAGGCAATAAATGGGTGCAAGAAAGAACGCGCGCGCGCGAGGGAGACACGCGAGGGTAACTGCTGTTTATGGCGGAAATCTCAGCCGCAGCCGGAGCACCTATCTAGGTTGTTATTAATTTCACGGTGTTCACTTTTTAGTCGTATTTATATCTGAACCTGACTTTAAAAAAAAGCCTACTGACTATTCACGTAACTTTTCTTGTTGTGTGCCGGTTTGTGTTATATATTCAATGTTATTTTAAAAACAGACTTGAGAATATTTAATTGTGCAGAAGTTTCACAACCTGATTCTGATTGCCAAAATGGCCGGAAGGCGTTTTTGTTCGCGATCCGAGACCAGGCCGAATTATAGCCTTATTTGCCTTATTTGTCCAGTGGTTGTAGAATACCGGGTTGGCTGTCGTGTTCGAGCCTCGGGGGACTGCTGCGGTCTTGAAAACGATGATCGCCTCATTTAGCAATTACGGAATCTTTCGTGTCAATTTGAAGCAGTCGTAAAAGAAAGCACACTACTTTTCGAACTTTGTTGGGGGACTGGGCCATGTCGAGGGGTTTATTTTTTTTTGTTTTGGTTGGGGGGTGCGGGCATATACCTTTACGTCACTGAGACTATTATGGTTATCTCTTACGTAATTTTTCTATTCCGTTAATGGCTGTGGGGGGCGGCGGGTGTTTTGAATGTGTTTATCTTTTTTTTTGTCATTTAGGGGGTGTTTTGTTTTATTTTGGGGCATCGGTGAAGGAAAGCCGTTTTTTTTTTGTGTTTTGTTGGGGGGCAGGGGTTTGTTGGTTGTTTTTTTTTTTTTTTTTTTGGAGGGGGGGGGGGGAGTGATTAGTAGGGTTCATAGCAACTCTTGAGTGAAGCCCCTACCAAATTAGGCGTAGCTAATAAAATCTTAACCTCGCTCTACAAACGAGAGTTCGTTTCGCGTTTTTCGTGGGATGGCCACCCATTGACAGAACTTGTCACTGTCCACTTTGCATGCCGATGATATAGTGTGCAACTAAAAGTCGCTAAGATTAACTATAAGTTGACTTTGAATTATAGTATATGAATACTGACGTCAGATAAATTTTCGCGGCATATCTAATTCGCGGAACCCACAGAACCTTAAATAATGCAAAAAAAAAAACCACATGCACCTGAATATGGCGTAACCCATTCACAGGGTAGGGATTTCTTAGTATGGGCACTAGCCTCCCTACATGTAGCCCTAAAAAAGCCCATGCAACTGAGGTTCAAATACAGATAGTATTTTATCAGACTTTACCTTTTGTAAATTTAATTCCAAATCATAATCTGCAAAATTATTATGGAAACGATGTAAACATGCGGTTTATACCTCATCGCACGAGGGTCGGAAAAGATGTTCGGAAGCTCGAGTTCTCTTGTCGCTTTAATTTTTTAATGTAAATTTATAGATTTCTACTTTATAGATTTCTTTTTAGCGCTATTAGAAATTTAAACCGTCTAAGGAGTGCTTCTTTTTCTTCCGTGATCATGACATAATCTTATTTAATTGATATTATCAATGCGTGCTTCACAGTTGGTTACCTTGGCCGTGTGGTTAAAGTCATCCCGCGCGAAGCTTTTTGCACGCGAAAGGGTGTGTGCCCCATACCTCATTTGTTTTTTAAAAGGGACATAACATACTATGGATAGGATGTATACAACATGGAACCAAACGCAGTCTCCAACATCATTTTAAGTCTGCTGATATAAGTATCTCGGTATGAAAAAGGCTTGTCCTAAGTCGTGGAGGTGTGAACTAGAGACGCGGAAAGTAGGAAGGAAGAGACGAGGAAAACCCGAGAGAAGAAGACATTGGTACGCTTGAACCGATTTCTGGTTTACATTGAACACTCTGTTTGATTCAGATTCTACATTCTTACGTATGATCTGATTTGTTTCACCCTGGTAGAGTCTGTTTGTGTGTAATGGACAACCTTCACACTGCGAGGACCAGAGCCTCCTTTTGTACGGATTAAGTTAGGTTTGGGAAACTAAGACCACAATATGAACTGACACACACACTACTAACTCCGCGGTATAGCCAGTACCCTACGCATGCGCATAGCCATATCAACCCGGCAGTGGCAGTCATGGATAACTCTTTCGCCCTTGTTAGGACTCATCAGCATGGTATAGCCAGCACGTTCTCACTTACGATCACAAACTCTGCATCTTACTGCGGAGGCGTGTGCAAAGCGCTGCTTTAAGCGCCAGCTCCACCGTACACATTTGGTAGCTGTTGCCTGGCATTGTGGTTCTGGGAAACTGCCCACCTACCCCTCCTTGTTTTTACTCCAGATTCCTAGATTTGCAACCAGCCCAACTTCACTCTCTACGAGCGTTTTTCTTCAAAACTAAATAAGGTCTACGAAAAATTGAATTTTTGAGTGTATTGATCACTAAAAGACTAATTATTTAACGTAACGTTTAACGGAACAAACACAGAGTACCCAAATACCAAAGGTGGTTAAACAACTGATCATGCGCAACACATCCCTTGCCATCTCCACGTGGAGTTAGATAGGGACTCCATTAGCGACTCTGTAAGTATTCTAGTCTTTTTTTTTCGCTTCTTAAGAATGTAGTTTTGAATTTAAAAATTTAAATAATTTCTTTAACACAACTGTTAAGGGAACCTCAGTTGGGCCTTTTATTTCAGGCTACCTTTGGGTAGACTAGTGCCCATACTACGCTCGATATCTTGATCAGTCTAATGATCAGTCTCAACGATGTGCCGCCATGTTCAACTGAACAATACTCTCTCTCTGCCTTAGATCTGGGTAAACATTTTTGTCCACTTATCCTGCTAGTTACTTTGCAAAAGTCCAAAAACGTCACTTATAAAGTTCCTTTTCATTTTATGACTTCTCCAAATACATCTCACATTTAAGTCCAACCTCCAATCATGCCCTCCCTACTTCTCTATGATGTCTCTCGCGGTAAGATGTTCTTTTTTGCCCTCTCATCTCAAAGTCTTTAAAGATCTATCAAGGATGTCCAAACGGCCATTTTCAATGTTATTGCAGGTACTCCGTCGTACCGGAGGGACCTTAAGCAACGACGACGGCGACATCAACGAGAACGGCAAAAAAGCAATGCACGTGCATCACGCTTTTTTGTACATTTCTTTGCCATCGTTGCACGACTACGACGTGAAACTTTCCTGATTTCACGTTTTATGGAGGACGTGAACTTTTGTGAACTCGGATACAGCCCTTTAGAATTCAACTCCTGAAAAAAAGCCATCATTTGACAATTAAAAGAGTTGAGATAAGAGCAATGAAGTTTAAAACAGCGCGAATTCAATTTTTGGCGACGTTTTCTCTGCCGTTGCCGTGGTGGTTGCTTTTAAGCTTAAAAGCTCCCTTTAGAGCACGGAGAGCGGGAAAATGAAAAGATGGGAACAAAACTGAGAATTGGAAATAAAGTCACTGATAGGGCTAGGGTTCAAGTTAAGTTTTGTTCCCGTTTTATTTTTCCGCTCTCCGTGCTCGTTAACCGCTTGTGAAGGCAAATCCACAACGAGAAACAAGTGAGGGACCACCGGATCTTTAGTAGACCTGGAAGAGTAAACTCTTGGGAACCAAATTTTAAATTTAAAACAGTAAAACTGATCCTTACGGCAGGAAGAGTGATAGAAAAAATAAAGAAAGAAAACAAAAATAAAGTGGTGACTTATATTTACCCGATATTTCGGTTTGCAACCCAAACCTTCAACGGGGGCTATAATCGTTCACACTTTTTTTATCGCTCGCAAGCTCCCTTGAGCACTAGACTGTTATTTTTAGACCACATATCACATGGGTATCTTATAAATATCAGTAAACGTTCAAAGTCTGGGGAAAAAAGTATATTTCTATATTTAATAAAGATTAAAAATGTTCTGGGCGTATGGGTGTTGCACTTTCATACAATACACTACTTTTTGAGTTATACAACAACGTTAATTACTGTAGTTCTTCACTTCCTTTTCAAAATAAATACGGTACATTTTAGCCTGCGTTGCAGCCGGCCCACGCATTAGGGAGTTTAAGATGTCAATATGGCGACGGCAACGAGAACGTCAAAAAATCAAGAGGTTTAGGGTAGTAAAATAACAACTTGCACGTGCATCACGCTTTTTTGTATATTTCTTTACCTTCACTGAACGACTACGACATGAATTGCCTAATTTCACGTTTTATCGACAACGTGAAGATACGAGGACGAAATTTTCTTTCTCTCTCTAAACTTGAATATCTTTCTTAAGAATTCAACTCTAGGAAAGTTTGCCTACATTGGACAAAGTGAGCTAGTTTGGATAATCGCGCTGAAGTTTCAAAGAACGCGAAGTCACATTTTAAGTGACGTTTTCACCGTCGTCGCTGTTGTGGTATCTGAAACTCCCTATTGTCTTGACCATTGGTATACAGTCGAACCTCCCGTAAGCGACCACCCAAAATGCAAAGGCAGAGTGGTCTCTTATTCAGTTGGCTATACAGTTAAGTATAATGTCGTAAAATTCCCGAAATCATATAAAACTAAATACATTAGTTTAGACCTAAAACTTCTCTAATCCGAACCAGACGAATACGTGGATAAATTGTGTTATTTCGGCGAGAAGAAATTAAATCAGTTTTAGTTTTTGAAGAATAATGTTGATCATTATCGCTTGAGTTCATTTTAAGACGCCGCCTGCTGCACCTTTGCAACCTTCCTGTGTTCCTTTGCTTTTGTTTTTGGACATTGCATTTCACACCAACTCACAGGAACCATTGCTACTCCTACATAGGAAAAAGAACATACACACTGTAAAAGAGCCTGCACTCATGGGCACTGTTTGCCCTCAACTAACTATACTATTTTTGTTGCTATTTTTTCATTTTTTGCCTGGCATTTCGTCTCCACCAAGGCAAATCCAATGCTTACTGCCACCCCCAACCCCAAAATAAGAAAAAAGAAAATCAAGCTCCTAATGGTTACACCCAATAAAAAAATACCTTGTTTAATGACACTCCTTCCTCTTTCCTTTATCTCGTTATTTTAAACAGCAATTTATTGATCAATCAGGATAACTTTGTTTGTGTCAACTTAATTGGATTACCCTGTAAGCAGAGGTTTCTCTCTTGCATGGCTTTTAGTGTTTACAAAGTCGTTCGCGTGGCTTGTCTGTCGCGTACGTTATTGGTTTGTTTACGCCCCGTGAGAAATGGGGTAACAAACTAACCACGCGACAGACGAGCCACGCGAATGACTTCGTAAATTGGATAGGACTTTTACTTCTTATTTTTTTTTTGTGAATGTGACGACTCTTAGATTAAACTTCAATAAACTTAATGTCAAGAGTCTTGTTAAGTTAGTTGTTACATATCTTTAAAATCAAAAATGTTTTGTCTTTTTTGGCACACAAAAAACATGGCATCCTTAACTAGATGCAAACTGCAGTTAATTTGCTATTGTAATATATAAAGCACAACTTGATATCTACTGTAGAATTTAGTGTGGAAGCAGAAAATATTTTTTCATTTCAACCATACTTATCATCACTATTATATAGCCCTTATGCTTGCAGTTAATATACACAAACTTCTTACCAGCCTCACTCTTGGCAAACACGACCCCTAGTTCATTTTCAGCTGTTGACAGAAGATAAGTCTGTGTATGAGAAGTTAATACTCGGGCTAATACTATGTCACCAGGGCGGAATGACTTGTACATTTCAACTTTGTCCTTTTCTGTTGCTCTGACATCTTCCTTTCTGATTGTTCCTTTAAAAGTTTCTTTCAAAGAAGTTGCCTCCACACCAAGAATTGCAACCTTGCAGAACCTTGGATTTGTACTTATCACCTGAGGAGGATAACAAAACATTGGATGCAATTAAGTTTAATTGTGTCACATGAAGGATTATGAAAAATTACACCTTTGAGGTGAGGCAGACCATTCTGAACAACAAAGCAACCAGTTTGAACTTAGGCTGCTATTTTAATCAGTGTGGCCTCAAGACCACTGAGTTACCACCTCTCATCCCCACCCTCATTCACAAAGTAAGGGAAGGGTATTTGTCCATGCAGGCTACAAAACATTTTACCTGATGCACTCCAAAATCATTCAGCACAGCAATTGCACCTGACTCCCAGTAACTTGAGCCCTTGGTAACTTAAAACTCATGCTAACTTGAACTAAAATTGATTTTTCCGGACTTGATCCATATTTCTGCTGCAATTTCACTTTCAGTAACTCTAATCCTCGCAAAGGTGAAACTTGCTCTCGCTCAAAGCAATAATATGTCCTTTCAGGTCACTCTTTTTATAAATTTACCCTCTATTACTCAAATTGAACTCCTTGGCAAATCTTTGCCAAAGAAGTCATAGATTCCTCCCATAACTTGGTTCACCGTGATGTGACAAAGATATGCAGTGAGGATAAATTAATACCTTGCATGTAACAACTGAATCAGCCTCTGGTACCACGTGCTTTTCTTCTTCTCTTATCACACACATCACAGGTTTCTAAAAGGTGGAAAGGAGAATACTCAAGCCAGTCTACTGTCACATACGTATATCAAATTCACTGCTGTCAACAGGTCACTAAACCACCACCCTCTGTTTTGGGTCAAGACACTGATTCAAGGTGACATGACACCTTGGTCACGTTCTAGGTGACAGATTCAAGTCCTACCTACAAGGTCTCAAAAAATTCATCCAACAGCAATCAGTCTTTGAAATTCACTCTGAACGACCCCAACGGCTAAGTCTGATTCCTTCAAACGGGCAATTGCAGGTGGCTCTTTTAAAGTTCAATACACTGATCTTGGGAGAACGTAAGCTTTATACCTCTCCATTTTTCTGCTGTTGTAACTGCTTATAACCTGCAAGACTTGCGTAAACATATCCATGGCGAGTGTACGTTCCATTTCCCGACGAAAATTGCTCTAAACTACCTAGTCTCTCTCCAGGAATAGCCACAAGATTCTCGTGCATAGACACCATTACGATCTATCAACACTTTGGAAGGTTTAACCCAGAACGTCTGAACTACGAGACGAGCGTCAACCGCGTTGCGTCCGCCATGTTGAATTTTGTGAAAATCCGCTGCTCGCTGTGAATGCAGTTATTTTTCAATCGTCGGTACCAGGGTCCTCTCATCCGAACTGCTCTCCGTTGCCATAGTAACTAACTCAGAAGTAAAGCAAAATGGCGGCTTACATTGCAACACATGATCGTTCTGTTTTAGCTAAACCACATGAAGACACTAAAGCATCTGTCACTCAGAATACGACTCATAAAGACATAATAGGTAAGTGAACTAGATAAAAATGTCTCAAAAAATTAACTGATGTTGCATAGTTAAGACCGGCACTGGACCCTTCATTTTACAGAGAAATAATTTGGTCCTACATACTGGGTATAGGCTGAAAAACATGTAAAAGATTATCCTCAACAAAAATTTAAAATTTTTTGCAGTAGTTTTAGTTTAACGTTCTTGCCTTACTAAGAATTCTCAGTTATAGGTAATCTATTTGTGTGTGCAAGGTGCCTGGGATAAAGCTACTGTACTGTTTTGATATCAGAACAGAGGCCGTCGGAAACAGAGGCCATCCCAGTGTTAACTGCCAGATACCTGGTAACAAGACTTGAGGTTTAAATTTTCCAGTCATGCTGGGTGTAAAGACCATGCACCAAATGTTTAAAAGGTGGTTAGCACTATCCAGCAGATCAATCACTGTCTAGTGGATAGCACCATTGGTTTTCCCGAAAAATTTTTTACTGGATAGTGATTTATCCGGTGGATAGCACTATCCATCTTTTGAACAACCAGGGCCAGCAATCTTTCTTGGTGCAAGCCTAGTAGTGTACATGTATGCTTTCGTATGTCAGAACAGTATCCTGGGCAGTACCAGCATTTAAAGTAGATCATTCCGTAGGTTTGGCACTGGGGCAGTAAATGAGTAGTCACTAAGAGAAGTGTTGTCGTCATCAGAAGATCATGGTTTGTATCGAAAAATAGTTTTGAGTTTTAGTAAGTTTTGTAAATGCAGGAGCAAGTCCATTTTAGGCTCAATATATAGGTGAAACGTATTGCACTTAACACAGGAGTTTTCTGTTAAAAATTTACCCATGGCAATTAGTAAGGGTCACAAGCTCATTGTTTGTGAACTGTAAACTCAATTGACAGAGATCAAAAGCAACAGAAACGACTAACCCTGTCTGTGTATAACATTATGGTGCTTCATTTACCTTTCTGATTCTTCTTAGGGTAAACTTATTGATAGTAACGATGAAATAATAAAAAAATGATGTAACAAACAAGAGAAAGAGTGAGACCAAATACACCCTTTTTAATTTCAGAAATAGGGAATGACCTTTACCAGAAACTAAAAGATGACCATGAGAGAGAACAGCAGCAGAAAGTCACAGAGGTAGAGAAGAGAGCATGGCGCTTGGCATCCGAGGAGAAAGCAAGAGCTGTAAAGGGAGCAAGAGAAGCTGCTGAACTAGAATTAGAAAAAGCCATGGCTGCTGCTAAGAAAGCTCAGGTGAATTCCCTTCTGAACATGCAATTTTAACATGTACTTGAATGGTTTTCCTACAGAGAGGGTGTAGGTCATTTTTTGTGCTGCACATCTGCCGTGGTGGCATATCCCCTTAGAATTGTGCTGGTTAGAGCACTTACTGCAGTAGCCCAAACCAAGTCATGTCAGACCTGGGACTTGAACCCACACAAAGCATAACACCACAATAGGCTTGTGATGTGTCAGCAGCAGCAATAATTAAGTTAAGCCCTAACATCTTTCAAGTTTCTACTCATACAAGCTTTTGTTTATATACAAAAGAGGCCGTTAGTCTGTTCAAATATGACTAAATTTAATATACAACTTGTAACTACAATAAAATCTTGATAGGGCAAACTTATTATAATGAGACTCTTGTGTGACAAAATTATGAATATTAATTTCGATGATACATTGGTCCCCGTTATAGTAAAAAATATTAATCTATAATTGCATATCATTTTAATGCAAAGAACCAAAACCCTGATAAAGCCTCTGTTTAAAGTGAATGATTTTTGGCAGCCCTTGGCACTTCATTACTATACAGTAGAATTTGCTTGTAGATCTGTGTTATTAACTTTTTAAGAGTATCCATCCCTGAATACGGTTAACACTTGGCCTGCATGTTTCTTTTTACGATAAAATAGGAAAAGGCAGTAAAAGCAGAGTCAAAGAGAGTTGAGGCACTGATGAAAAAACTTGCAGCTCAACAAGTTCAGCGGGAAAAAGAGGAAGGTCAAAAGAGACTTGAAGAAGCACTTGTAAAAGCCAGAGAAGAGTATATGATAGAGAAGGCAAATGCTGTACAGAAGGCTAGAGAAGAGGAACGAGTCATCGCAACTGAAGAGGCCAAGAGAGTGGCTCAAGTTGAAGAAGATAAAAGAAAACAGTTGATTTTAGCTGCAGAAAAGGAGAAACAGGTAAACATACCTGTAGTTATTTGTTTCTTTGAGTTTTGGACTGGCAATAGTGCAGCAATCAGCAAACGACATCAGATAAATCATGTCCAGTTGATAAGAATTCCCAAAGAAATATGCATTGGAGCACAGTACATGGTCCAAAGCAAGAAAAACATTGAACTGGTTGAGATCTTATAGCACCACTTAAAAGAAATAAATTTAACCTCAAAATTTGAGCACCTCTGTATGGGTTCCCGCGGACATCAATTTCATCCTGCATTTGCCATTGAATTGTTGGATGTTTAGGCAAGATCATCGCATATCAACAATAATTATTATTTTGTGTGGTAATGCTACTAGCTTGAACTCAGCACAACCACAATGACAATGGATACAAGAAAATAAAAAAAGGTAACATGTTTAATAAGCAAAACAAAAACTCTTGACATGCAGCACACTTTTTCAGGGTTCGCACAGTCTTGATATATCCTTGAATTTTAGGGGAAGTCCTTGAAAAGTCCTTGAATTTTCTTCAACTTTGAATGTAGTGGCCTGGAAAGTGTTTCAATGTTTTCTGGTCATCCAAGACGAAATATACATGTAAATCATAGCCAGAGAAGTTAAAGGCGATTTACATGAAGCATTGTTTGTTTTATGCAATAAATAGCTATCAAGTTAAGTTGGTGAAGCAAACATACAGTTCAAGCTTTTAAGTCCTGTTAGAATGCACTGGAAATGTGCAAGGGCGTCATTAAAAGGCGTCACCTTGCTGGCTTCATTGCCATTAACCTGTTACTGCCATAAGTGTAAATGCTCATTCAAGCAAATATAATTCTCCTGCATTTTAGCAAGCTTTGAAGAATTTAAAGGAAAGATTAAAACAAGAAGAAAAACAGGCAGTGCTGGAAATGCAAGAGAAATGTAAAAAGGAGGAGGAGGAAAAACTTCAGCAGCAGAAGGAGGTCCATTTGAAGGAGGTAAAGGAATTGCAAAGTCGTATTGAAGAGCAAGTTAAACTCACAGAAGCTGCCAAAGATGATACAGAAAGGATTCTTGAAATGAAGGGTACTGTGGAAGAAAAGTTAAGAAACACCTTGACTTCATTTCAAAACTTTATAGACACAACAAAGGGTTTTAATAAAGGACAGTCTGATTTCATGTTACTGGACCCGTTAAAGGACTTACTAGAGGACAGCTGAGTTAATGTAATGCAAGTTTTTTGAGTTGATTCTTTGCTAGCTCTTAATCGTGTTGTTTACACAATCATTTACATTGTTTTAGGTTTTTGTCTTGTGTATATAGTGTGTTTCAGGAATTCCGCAGATAGTGGAGGCTACGTAGAGAGGAGAAATCCATGTCTTGCTACTCCCTACTATCTGATTGCCTGGAACAGGATATTTCTTGTGCAGTCATACATGCTTTATATGATTCTGAATTTGACTTCATACCACAATAAGGATGTAGTATATTCTATAATAATTTTAAGTAGATAAAGTTCCATAATTAAATAACTTAAACATATGTGCATCCACACCACCATTGTCGCAAGTCTTTAGAGTCTAATATTATGGTCTTCATAATGAAAATGGTCAACTGGACCAATGTTTATTTTTAAGTATGCTGCAAGGCTGTCAAAAGGGTTTGAAGCAGGCATTATACATGTAACTAGCAGACATTCACCCATAACATCTCTTTTAAATGCCTGTGCTCACTCTCTTTGTTGGTTTAAAACCTTATACCTTCACCAATAACATCAAGTCTGCTGGGCAGTTAAAGTGGTCATGCCAGAAAAAAAACCCTTTGATAAACTGCCATATTCCTCTTTTAAATTGCCCTGCACTAGCTTGTAATAAATTAAAAAAAAAAAACGAGAATCAGACTTTACTTACAGAGTTTACAAACACCCCCTCAATTAAGGTTAAAGTTTGTCTTGCCAAACATAACAGACCACTTAACACTACATGCACATAAAGATGAACATAGGAATTTTACTCTGTTTGGAATCAGAAAATGTGTATTTCAGACAAAGCTCCTCTCGAGTCCATGCAAAATGCTTTAAGTCAATCATTTGTGAAATTAACAATGATGCCGTTGATTGGCAAAAGCTCAGATTTTTAAATTTTTTAAAATGGACAGCAGTTAAAGGCCTCATTTGAACATGTTAATTTCATCATGCTGCTGAAGGACAACTTGAACAGATTAACAGAAAAGGGTTCATCAATGGATTATTATAGCTCAGATCTTTATCACTCCACTAAAGACATTGACACACAAGTTTTAATAGTCGTATCTGTCAACAATAATTATGTTATTTTTTCCATAATAATCAAGCAGACATTTTCCATAATGGAGGATCACATCTTTATGGTTTTCCATCAGTGATCCACAAACCACTAGCTGAAAATTATACCTTGAATTGTCCCACCAGGCATGACAAAATTAGTTCACAGGCATGAGGTTGAAGTTTCAAATCTGCAAGCATGAGATTCATGCCTTAGCTTTTACTGTAAGAGTTGTCAGGAATATCTGAATGGTCAGATCTAGTCTGAGGAAGCTTTTCTCAAGCTTCTATTTTGTACAGAAAAATTAAACAGACTGCATGTGCCACAATAGCAATTTACGAACACTGAAATAGAGTGACCAAGTCAAGGAAGTAACAATAATATTTTATTCCAAACTGTAAAACCAAAAATAGTCATTGCATGCAGAAATTATTTTACAACAAAAGCTATACACTATTAAACTCTAACTCTTTTAGCATCTTTTAACTGCAAGATGATTTAACTTATGTGTGTACCTACTTGTTTTGACATTTTATGTAAAAAGTGATAATAACTATAATATAATTTTTGAACAATAATATATTATATTATTGTTTAAATAACACGTTTTAGAGATCTTAATCCTAGATACCTTTCAATTTGATTTGATATTATGAATATTAAAGCACAACAATTTTGAAGGTGGCTAGCATGACATTACAGGTCCTCAATGTATGAATCTTCTCATCACAATAATTAATCATTTTCATGCTTTCAAATTTCAGTGAATCTCTACTTCCAGTTGAGTTTGGAAACTTAAAAAATTGTGCCATGATTTATACACTCTTATTGTTTACTTGCATAGAAAATTTGCTCTTAACAGGTAAGTGTGCGCAAATTCCTACTAGCTGCTACTGTAAGGAAAAACATTGAATAGGTAGATGGAAAATGAATGCGCATTAACTTACTGAAATCTATATGAGTCCTATAGTTTTTTGTTCTCAATGAATAATCAAGGATTTAAAAATATATAATAAAAATTATACTGCATAAGACTTTCATAATACAGTGAAACCTGTATTAAGCGGACACTCTTGGGGAATGCTGTAGTGTCCGCTTAATACAGGGTGTCTGCCTAATACAGGTTTCGATAGATAAAGTCATATGAGGTGTCAAATGCCATTTAAACTGAACAGTGGAAAGGTTAAGAATACTCCCAGAGATTTTGAGGATATACATTTGCATTAATTTCTTTATCAAAGTGGACCAGTTGATCATAATACCATAAACATAGATTGCAACTCAAATTTGAAGAAATCAGATGAGTGAAACAAGCTCTATACATTGCAAACAAAACGAAATAGGAAACACTAATCAAATATGTTCGTCAAGTCAAGTTTTTTAATGTAAAAATAGAAAAATTTGTGGGTGGCAATTCCAGGCCATCTTTGCATTTCCGGTGTCTGGCATGTTGGGTGGTGGCATTTGATTACAAGTGTCCGTTTAATACAGGTTGGTAACAATAGAAATGACCATTTCAGGTACTTTTTAGGTGTCCACGTCCGCTTAATAGAGGTGTCTGCTTAATAAAGGTTTTATTTTAAGCAAATAAGGGAGGTAAATTTTGGGACTTCGGCTACTGTCCGCATAATAGAGGGTGTCTACTTAATACGGTGTCCACTTAATACAGGTTTCACTGTACCAGCTGGGAATCAATAATTTCAAGAAGTGCCTAATTTATATTTAATATAAATTTGGTAAAATAACATCTTATGTTAACCACTTTTCTATTGCCTCATCAAACACTTTCTTTGTTCCATGCCAATGGGTGTGGTTTACTCCTGAAAAAGTGTAGCGATGAAGTGATCCTCTTTCATCCAAACTGCGCAGGCCAAATGTATCTTCAAGATATATCTAAATAACATTACATGCAAAATACAACTTACTATTAATAAAGTACATGAAAAGATTGGGCCTTATATATAGGGGAGTATTACATTAAACATTCAGACTTTTGAGTTTTTTGTTTCTTAGTTGTTTCCTTTTACAAACATTTGTTTTTATTATTATTAATATTGAGATGGACTAAGACATAAATCACAGAAAGTAATTTTTCATTTAGAGTAAAATAAACCAAAACAATAATTTTATCTGTTTAAATTTTATATGGCATACTTGGATAATATTAATAAGTACCTCTCCTCAAGTAAATGCCCCCAATTTATCGTGAACTTGAAATAAGCACCTCAGTTTTAATTCAAGCACTGACTTACAGTACTATTACCTCAGGTTTAGTAACTTTTGGCTAATATTAGTGATTACCTTAGTTTGGCTATTGAATTATTGACGTCAAACATTAAATGAATATATATATTCATACTTATCTAACAAGTCATGCTAACCTGTTGCTTCGTCATGTCCACCACTGTCAAGTTCATGTTATAAAAGCAAAATTGGCTGAAAAATAAGATAATACACAACTAATTCCATCAGGAATTTCAAGGCCTATGTTAGAAATACAAACAATAGCCCTGTTCAGGGCTTGAAAAAACCTGGAAATCTAGCTTGTCCTTTGGGTAAGCAGCTTGCACTTAAATTTTGCTTGCACCGGGGCCACTTCTTGCTCGTCTTACTGATAGTTAATTATTTCATTAGGGGATGACTTACCTGGCCCATTGGGCAAGTATTAGCTTTCAAAGTTACTTGCCAGGCAAAGAAATCTACTTGTCCCAAACTACCAGGCAGTAATGGATGGGACTTTCTTCTGAGCCCTGCCTGTTCCCTCCTCCCTTATTATAATCATTGTGGAGAAGGAGTCGAACTGACTTTAATTTAAAGGGTAAACGACATTTCAAAAACCCAAGGTTACTCTATCCACGAGCAAACGCTGCAAATACAGTCTATCAGTCAGTCACGACCAACTAAAATCTCCCCTTGTCCAAAAAAATTCAGGACATAATCACTGGAAAGATCAATGACCCTAGACACTCATTTTATAGCTGAAGATTTGCATGGTACTTTAAGAAATTTGAAATCAACATTATTTGATCCAAAAATGTTTCAGTTTTGTCTGACTGAAATGGTGGCATGATCAAACATTATCCCTTCTAAAATTATGATAAAAATTATTTGCCGGCTGAGATACTGTAACCTGCCCCTTATAATCCCTGGGCTTATACAACTTCCCAAGGGGTTTAAGGAGGGCATGGAGGGGCTTACATACGAATTGAAAAAGTGCTATTTTATAAAAGCTACATATTTTTTGTGAAAGCGGATCAAAAAACATTTTGCAATTCCTGCTGTTTTTTAATAAAGCGTTAAAACATGAGCTAGCAGGGGGCATATATCCAGGGGACTTTATGTGGCAATAATATTATGGTATGTCTTATGCACTTATATACTTTTGAGAACCTACAAAAATGTGGTACCAGCAAATTTATGCACTTTACCTGGACTGCCATGGTGTAATGACACCATCATCGGGTCCTCCAATCAGCACTAAGTTCTTGATCCGCAAAAAATTATCCTTGAATCTTTTACTATCTGAATAAATGAAACGATTGATTCACAGTCATCATTCAAGATTACCTGTCATTAAAACTAGTGATAACCAAAGGTTACAGAATTACAGCAATCGAAGGTCAAAACGCTTCTGCTCCAGTGCTGTGCTTTGCGCAAGTTTCACATGATAGGTGGTCAAAACATGCGTGATCAGATTACAAGTGATAGAAGGCCCTAAAACATGAGTGATCAAATTGCCTTCTGTGCATTCCATTCATTCTTAGTGGAAGTCCAAACAAATACAGGCTACATACATGAAACCCACGTATAATAACAACCTGGAGATTAGGATTGCGGGCTCCTCTTGTCGCCTGCTATTATAACTCGTGAGCTTTCTGTCTTTAAACTAATAAATCATGTGTGTGGGTAAGTATCACCTTTTTACCTAGCATGGAGGCATGTGTGGTTGGGCAGTTAACACCTCAATCTCCGGATGTGGGGGTCCAGGGTTCAAGCCTTGCCAGTCGCATTGTTTCCTTAGACAAGGAACTTTACTCCACTTTATGTCTCTTTGCCCAAGTGTATAAATGGATACCAGCAACATACTGTTGGGGGTGACCTTGCGATGGACTAGCATCCCGTCCAGGAGGGAGTAGCAATACTCCTCGGCATGTTTCATGCTAAGGAAACTAGGATAAGCTCTGGCCGTTTGAGTCTTTGGCTTGTGTGCGCCTTTACCTTTTTACCTTCTTACCTAGCATGAAAAGGTGATAAATCTAGAGGAAATGCACCCTGGCGGCTTATATCTAAAAAACTGTCACAATGAATAGGTATAAATCTATTAACTTCATTCGTACCTGTAACATTGAAAAACTTTGAAGCATTGTTATTATTCACCACTGGCAAGAAGATATTATACTCATAATTCTTGTCTTCATGATATGGATCTGTTGTTAAAAAAATGTATTGTCACTGCAATGGCTAATCTGCTTTCTTGGATCGAACATCTTATTTGAGAGATGAAAACATACAAACACTGTTGTAACTGCGTCATGATTACTATCATCCTCTCCCTGTCAGTCAGGCTTTTCAAGGATAGTCACCAGTGAAACAGAAACAGATTTTATGCATTTTAAGGCCGGCTCAGTTTATCATTAAATTTTGCATTCTTACCATTCCAATAGTTTGCCAGAGAAAATTTGTTTTGAAAATAGTTTGTGTAGAAGAATCTGAAAAATAAAACAAATTGGAACATTCTCTTAAAGAGACACAATACATTTAATTATTTTGGGCATAATTTCCAAAAGATATGGATTGTTGTTGTACTGAGTTAAAATTAATATTTACATGGAATAGGAACTTACAAGTAAAGGTCCTTTCTGGCTGCTGGAGGAAGGTAAGGCTTTAGATAGCTGGTATCTAAAAACAGGATATTGTGTCTTTAGTTAATAATGAGTTATTGCGAATATATATAACAATAACATGTATTTTTAGTTTTAAGTTTATCTTTTAACCATAGCAGGATTAGCTCATTTGGTAAAAGGTTTGACTGCAGAGCAGGAGGTTGTGGGTTCCATTCCCTGTGCAGAATCAATACTCAAGGTCTTAGCATAACTGAGAAATCAAGGTGCCGCCTTTGCCCTGCAAACAGATCTATAGACCTTCACATGGCTTGAATGACCACATAACATGGTGGTTCCATCTAGATCTGCAATAGGAGATGTAAAAATAGTGTTATCTTGTTTTTTTTTCATTTAATTTCTTTGTAACTTCCTGACTACAACTAACCTCCATATTGTCCCATTTGAGGGCTTGAGAGTGAGATGAAACTATCAACATTGTGATCATCCATGGTCTCTAGGATAGCACGAGCTGTGATTCCACCTTAAAATAGAAAAAGAGCAAGTTGTATGAAAAAAGTGTTAGTGAATTTCATAAAACAGGTAACATTTTCCATGGCTGTATACATGACCACTCTTAAAAGCCCCTTTAAAATGTTACTATATGGCTATGTTATAGGTCAAAGTAAAATTCAGATTATCAGATTGAGGCGTGATTTTTACTTCAAACTGGCCATGTGGTTAGCGCATTGGCCTTGAAATCCAGAGGCCCCGAATTCAAGTCGCACCCTGACCGCTAACTGGTTTTATTCCCAGTTGTCCTGAGTTGAAATCCTCAGGGATTCGTACAGTCTTGAATTCTTGCAAAAGTCTCTAAATTTGCCCAGCAATTTTTCAGACCTGGGAAATTGTCTGGAAAATAGAGATAAAGTCTGGAAAAATGGTAAAAAGTCTCGAGGTTTTTTTTCAAAGATACAATTATAAGTGCTTTTACAGGTGATTTTTTTTTTTAAATCTTATTCAATCTTGACCATACGTTTGCAGTGCATCACAAAAAAAGCTTTGTTCCTGCTTTTTTAGGGTCTATATTGATCACCTATTGATAACCTTGAGTCTGGAAAAAAAAATTGTTTGGGAAAAAAGTCTTGAATTTTGGATCCAAAAATCTGTACAAACCCTCAATCCTTGGCCAAGCTTGTAAATAGCCAACTGGCTTGCCTCCTACCAACTGGGATTCTTAAATCTTACAGGGGTGAGGGGCACTTCTCCAGACCTGGAGATAAGAAGGGCCGTCTATGGAAAACAATTTTTCTTAGGCTTCTGGGCCTCTGTTTGTTCTAAAACAAGAGGGGGCCTGGGCTCTCCCCTAGATCCACTACTGATAGAATCCTTTGCAAGTTACTGAATAGCCAGGTTATATTTTTTAGTATTTATTTTAGTATTTATAAATGTACATGTATCGGCAAACCACATAACCAGCAGTTTCAAATTGTACTTTTATTACTGAATAAAAGCTATGTGAAGTAGCACATACGTATCGAATGGTAGGGTATTCTGCAGTTACCCCAATTTCAGATCGAAAGCAGCGTGCAAAGAAAGTAGTGTCCGATAGCCCTGGGCTAGTGGATTTTGCTTTGGGGCTAGTGAATTCTGTTATTAACTTGCCCGACGGCAAGTGAATTTTTTTGAGGAATTCAAATTACAGAAGAACTGTGAAATCAATCTGCTCATCAAAATGTTTTGTGGGCTAGTTGAAATGATGTTTGGGCTCGTAAATGTTAGCTTCAGCTTACCCGAATGGCAAGCTGTAAACATGACTTCCTTTGCACCCTGGAAAGTGAAATGAACAAAATCAATGTCCAGCATCACGCTGGACCCGGAAGTGCTAAGTTCAAGCGCGACGCTGGCGTTTGGTGAATTTGTAACAAGGCCATCAGATGCTCAAAATCTCTACCCACGGAATGCAAAAAGTCAACGGGTCAACTTTATAAAACACTTATGATGTTACTTTCCCTCGCCACTGTTTTCCCGAAAATATAGCAATATCTTGGTAGAGTGCTGACATATTTCATTTTATATTTTTCTGCGAGAAGGGAATCCAAGATAATTCAATGCAATTATTTGCCTATCCATGTAGTACCATAATACCTTGAGAGAATCCAATAATGTGAACTCCATCTTTTGCTTCTCGCATGACGGATCGAACCACTTCGGTCATATTAGGTACTTGCTTCCACAACGGAGTAAAACTTTCCAGCTCCTCATACAACTTTATGAGCGTGATACTGGTTCCTGGGTGTGCCTGCGTTATAAAAGTTGCTAGATCTCCCATATCCGACGCATGATCGAGAATTCCATGAATAATTATCACTGGCTTATAGCAGAAACTTTTGGACACAAACAAAAACATCAGAGTCACGATGAAGTTCGCCATTTTGCATTTGGGACGGTTTTGGACTCGTTTAGCTCAGCTGATTTTAGAAGGCCGCTGATTGGCGTCATTGAATAGACTGACACAAACAAACCAATCAGAAACCTCGTTTTATTTGAGAAGAACCCTTGCCCTCCCATGATAGTTAGTGGGCAATTTGGCGCCAACTTCAAGCAAAATGGCGGCGTCCACTGGATTTACAATTACTGCGTAACTTTTTTTTTTTCATGAATATAGCGTCATGGACGAAAGGATTATTCGTTTGTGTGAAGAAAACAATGTGACTTCTCTCGTTCAGGCTCTTTCATCACTGAATAGTCAAAAGGTAAGAATGTTGCAGCGGTAGATGTCAGTTGTGGGGAATACAGATTTTTCGAACCCTAAAGCTTAAAAGAGAAATGGAAATTGATTTGGAAAGTGGGTGTTCGAAAACTCGACGGTGGCATTGAGTCACTCTTGTTTTACCATAGTGTTGTCTTATTAGACCCAAGAAGGCCTCAGACAGCAACGATATTATATTTTATTATAGAACTGACCTGCATGTCAAAACAAAACAAAACCACAGAAAACCATTGAGCTTACTGTAAGTAAGCTCAATTTTATTGATTTTCAAGTGATTGTAGTAATTGCAAGCGAGTGTCTTTTTTTCCCGACTATTAACTCTTTACTTAGCTCTGATTTTTTCAAGTGTTATTTATATTTTCATCATTATTTTCTGAATTGTTCATATAAACAGGTTGTGGATCTTTTTGAGGCCAGAGCTTTAGAGGGAAGGGGTGAACCAGTTCCCTATCTTAAAGCTGTATTCAAAGGTTAGTAGGCCTGTAGCTTAGAGGGTGTTTACATGAGAAAACTCGCATCGGCGCAAGTTTCATATCGGCATGACTTTTTGATTTTGTATCATGATCATGGGTCATTTCCTATCTGGCTTATTTGATGGTACACTTCATGTTGATAAAATATATGTGCAATTCAAAATTGCAAACATTACGCATGCGCTACCCATTCCGGTCGAATTCACACCGAAGACCGTGGTCGTTACGCGTTTACATGATACCGTTGTAAGATTTCGTACTGGAGTGAAATTCTCGCCCCGGTACAACAACCAGGGTGAACTCATGCCGGGGTGACTCGCGCCGGCATGACATTTTGTGGTGGTATCATGTATAAAACAAATGCAGAGCCATGAGAGGAAACTGGAGTGATCTTGTGCCAGCGCGAAAGTCACCCTGGTTTCATGTAAACACCTCCTTACACTGTTAAAACATATTTCAAATTGTCATAGAGCAAGAGTTTTGCCTGCAATAGCACGCAATCTCGTTGGTTACTTCAAGGTCACATGACATATAATAATTTATAACTCTGAGTGGGCAAATGGTGATTATATGTATAGAGCGGTTTTCACTTGACTGTCGTAAAACCAAAACCAAAGTAAATACACTAGCCAACCAAAGGACGTAGTAAGACCAAAACCAAAACCAAAACCAATCTCAATTCGACAGTCAAGTGAAAACCGCTCTATACATATGAATATTAATCCTCAACAGCTATGCACAAGCTATTTTTTTTCTGTACTATAGGTTCACCCTGTGACACTAAAGTTGGTTTAGAAAGGCGTACCATTGTGTTTAAGCATGCTATTCAAGTACTTAATGATGGTGACGTTAGTAACAAGGTATTTTAATACCAAAAGATATTGTACTTTGTTTTGCTTGAGTTCATCCTCGGAGACCCAGGGGCAGATAGTGGGGACGAGGGAAAGTCTAAACGGGCAGAAAAGTATACATGGAATGAAGAAAAGTAAAGAACGGCGAGAAGAGCCCCTGGGGACAATGTCTTACCAGACCAGTTCCAAACGGTCGCTGCCGTTCTGGCTTCTGATTGGTGCCAGAAAGCTTGTTTTTTTCTGGCACCAATCAGAAGCCAGAACGGCGGCGACCGTTTGGAACTGGTCTGGTAAGACATTGTCCCCAGGGGCTCTTCTCGCCGTTCTTTACTTTTCTTCGTTCCATGTATATTTTTCCGCCCGTTTAGACTTTCCCTCGCCCCCTTTATCTGCCCCTGGGTCTCCGAGGATGGCTTGAGTTTAGAATGAAAAAAAAGTTCAACCCAGTGTGCCCAACTGAAAATGCAGCCACAAATGCAGTGCAACTGAAATTTTAAGGGATTTGTATGAAGCTTGGTAACTGCCCCAAGATTTCCTTGTCTACTTGTCAAAATAGTGTCAAAAACCGTGACAAGGTCTATGTAATGCTTTTGCTACCTACAACTAGCCATTCCAACACTTCATGTATTTCAATAATTCCATTGCCTCACTTTACAAATGTCAATGTTGAAATAAAGGAAACAAGTTAAAAAAGACTAGGAGCACAAAGCATGGAAACTGTGGTGGATGACTAGTTGTTTCACCTTTTTTGCCAGGTTGCTTCTGAGATTGTGGGATTTTTGCTAATGGAGGTACTTTACAAAATTAAACAAACAGATAGTAACAATAATTTCTTTATAAACTAAGGGCACTTTTCATTAATTTGTCAGAACTGACCGGCCAGACGATTTCCATTGTAATGAGAATTTCACTTTAATCAAAACTATCCAGCCAGATCAGTCAAATCCTAAAATTAATAGTATACAAGAAAGAGTTGTTTTGTTCAGCAAAACTAATGGGAAAAGCCTATTTATTTGTCAAAATGACTGGTCCTTCCATAGTCGGGCCAGCCAGTTCTGACTTTTAGAAACTGTCCTAAGAAGCCTGCAAAGGTAGGTCACAAAAAAGAATATTCGAAAGTGAATGAATGGCAGTACATTACATGTTCAGGTTACAAAGAAAGTCAGTTTTACAGCTTGCCACTTGGGCAAGCTGTAGCTAGTGTGTACTACCCCAAGAGTTATTTTAACTGGCCCGAACAAATTTTCTGATGAGTAGGATTGATCACAGTTCTTCTGTAACTAGAATTCCCCAAAACACTTCATTTACCCTTCGGGCAAGTTAAGAACAAGATTCACTAGCCCAAAACAAAATACACTAGCCCAAGGCTATTGGACACTATGTTCTTTGCACACTGGTCATACATGTACATTAGTAGGAAAGCAGGGCCAGTAAGCTTTCCTTAGATTTTAATCTTACCAATATCCACATTTTGGTTCTTTGTCTGCTATTCCTGGTTGAATTGGAGTTTGAAGATGTTAGTTTTTGAGGAGAAGGGAAAACCAGAGTACCCAGAGAAAAACCTCTCGGAGCAAAGAGAACCAACAGCAAACTCAACCCACATATGGTGTCAATGCCAGGATTTGAACCTAAGCCACATTTTCTGGGAGGCGAACATTCTCACCACTGCGTTACCTTTGTGTGCTTTCGCATGTACAGAATCTGTTGCAGAAGTAATATGTGTTATATAGTATAGAAATTATGATATTCCCATGTAACATCATACAAATTGGATGTTAAGGCAGGGCTGTACTCTAACAGTGCCTGGTGGCACTTGCAGGTGCCTTACATTTGCTCTTGGGTAAGTAGGAAAAATTAGTTTTTACATAAAAATTGTATGCTGGGCATAAGACATTTAATGCCAGTTCAAAGAAGTACTACCAATAGTTGTGTGGCAAGTATGTCAACCATGCCATTCTGTACTAAACCAAACTTTTTTCAGTCTGTGGCCACTTTTTCTTTAAAACTTATATCACTATAATGTCAAACACCAACAAATTAAGTCAGTCTAACATTTTAACAATTGCCTGATTGTATCGTTTTATAATCAGTGTCAGAAAAACCTGAAGTGACAAAATCTTTCCCTCATTCAATAGCTTGATGCATTTCCTGGAAACATTCTTGCAGACTTAGCAGATGTGTTCATTAATGCCATTAAGAGTGGTTCCCTAAGCAATGGAAAGTAAGTAATATTTGTTTATTGATAAGTTACAAACACAAAAATTTCTTTCAAGGAAAATGCCAGGTTATCAAAACTTGTTCTCAAGTAACATAACACTTGTGTTACAGTCATTTTGCACAGAGCCATTTGTTTTTATGACATGTGGAACACACCCGTTGCCTCAGGCATTAATTTTTTGAAGGATCAACAGTCAGTTTGCTCGTCTTTAACCCTAAACAGATCACTGGAATTGTTCCCTAAAGTGTTGTCTGCTGTAGCAGCCAAGGACTCTATTCCAATGGTGGGAGGTAAGAAAATCAATTTTTTGAACAAGTGGAACAAGTGTTTCTTCTACAAACTAGGACCATTTGGCAAAAAAAAACACTAAAAAAAGCATCTTTTTGTTAACATTCATAAACTTGCCAAGTTTGAAAGTAATATGTCTAAAACAAGCAAAGATATAGCTCTCCAAATTCCCTAAATTATACAACAGTGAATTTGCAACCAGAGTTCTATCTTCATTCTTTTTACACAATTCAATCTTAATCATGGCAGTTGGCTCTCCTTTTTAGGCTCTTTTTTAACCAATGTCAATGGATTTTTACTAACTATTCTGTGGTATCAGAATTTGATGGGTCTATGCCTAAGTTTATACTTTGTTACTTGACAGAGGACTAGAAGTAGAGGCCCACCATAATTGACCTTTGGAGGGCTTTATAGTTGCTCCTCTCCAAGTCATCTTGCTGATTTCTATGATAAAGTAGCCTTTATTTGTTAATAGAGAGCTTAAGCAACAATGACAATGACAACATCACAAAATTATTGCTTTTATGAGTGAAACAACAGCTCTGCATCACACTTTTTAGTACATTTCCTTGATGTCCACTGCACAAGTATGTCAATGAAATAAAACCTCCTTGCAACGTTTTATGGACAGCTTGAAAATATGACAACAAATTTTCCATTCTTTTTTTGAACCTGGATAAAGTGCAGTGAATAATTCAACTCTAGGAAAAGTAACCTACATTTGACAAATTGAGTGGGTTTAAAAGGTTGCAATAAACTTTGAAAGGACACAAATAAATTTTTTTAGCATTGTTTTCATTACCTAGATCGTCGTCTTTGCTTTAGCTCCCTAACGTCTCTGATGCCTATGTACTTTTGTGGCAAAGCTAGATAAGATAAAAATGAGTTTCTAAAGTGGCTTTTGTGTAGGCAGGCATGGTTAAGGAAGCTAGTGCAAATACAGGAGACAGTTTGACATGTTTTTTAAAATAGTGCTAATTGTTAGTGGGTTTTAATACTGTGTTTATTACTCTAAGATAGCTGTGCAGTGTTGATCTACAAGTTGGCAGATAATTGTGCTTAGAAATATTAAGTACATTCATTACCTGAGCATTGTTTTTATTGCATAGAATGTGGAGGTGAAATGGCAGGGCAGGAGTACAAGAGACACCTACTTAACACTCTTTGCTCAAGCAGGTCAGTAGTTTGAATTTTGCTGTTGATATGTGCAAGCATTTTTCATTTATTTACTTGTCAACGTGGTGATAACTCTGGACTAAGGGAACGAAGGGGGTGAGTGTAAATAAGGTAAAAGAAATTCTAGAGCATGTGTTGGGTTGTAGCACCTATATCTCCTCTAGAATCAGGCAGGCAAATCATTTTTCTTTTTAAAGGGCCTTATGTCCAACCAGGTCTCCATTGTGAAGATGAAATAATCAGCAAATGTCATGAGCGTGGGACAAAGAGAAAAGCCTACGTCCTCAACAGGATTCAAACCTGTGACCTCCCAAACACCGGGTGGGCGCTCTATCCACTGAGCTACGGAGAACCCATGAAGAGCGAGGCCATGCTGTATACCAGGTTCTTATTGGAAACGCGTCCTGTATACTCATCATTACTGTTGGGATCGTACTACATGGTGAAAGAAAATACTAAGTGAATTTGTTGGTCACACATTAAGCTTAATATTTTTTTATTTTATTTTCATTAAAGAAAGGTTAATTAATACTTTAAAGTATCAAAAGTCAGCTTCAACTTGAAAATATTAGGTACTTGGGTCTGACTGAAGTAGGATTTGACATCATCTAATAATAGACTGTTATTTGCAGCTCTGAGATTTTAAAGTTAGAAAGTGTGAAAATTAATGTTTCTTCTCCACAAGCTCTGCCTTATTGAGCTGATTGGGTTCTGAGATGAGAAACAATCCAGTGGAAAACATCTTCAGTTGTCATCTCGTTTAATTTTCAGATGGGATCCTCAATGTGCCATACATCTAGCTGCTGTTTTCAGGTGAATTTTTGTTCTTGTCAGTAGCTGTCCAAGTGTCCTTAGGCTTTTGAATAAGACAAAAACAATGTGAGATAATTCAAGGTGTCTTAATCTAAAATCAGATCCTCATCCATGGTTGTCCTCCTTTTTTTTTGCTGTTATCAGTGCTATTATTGGAAGTCATACATAGAGTTAGACATACTACTCATTAACCGAGGGAGAGGTCATTACAGGGTATTCTCAGACCAATGTATTGTATCGCTCAGTCAGTACAGCAAAGCTGATGTCTGAGATTTCCCTGTAATGACCGAATGGATGAGGTTAATAAGTCGTTTATTATATGGCCTTTTCATTATGGACCTGAGCCTGCGATCAATTAAAATCAACAACTGGTCAGCGGATAACTTTTAAAAAAACACAACACCTCAATGAGTTGTGGCTTGAGCCTGCGTTACAGTCAGGTGACACTGGCCAGTGGATGCTCTTTTTGACAGCTGTCAACTGACCATAACATGGATGTCCATAAGGACGTCCACTATCAAGTTAAGCACAGATTGTATATGCCTTAATACACCTAGCTAGTAATGCCCGGTCATTACAAGAGAATAATGCCCTGTCATAATAAGAAAACAGCAAATCAGAGTACGCATTCTATTGTAGCAATATAATTAAATAATATTCCTTTTTCTCTTTTAAGTACCCAGGCATCAGAAAAATATATCTCTAACTGTACCTTGATTTCCATTCTTTCTTGTTGATATTCTGAACCCTTCATCTAAAGTGCTAAAACACAAGTTCTCACCATGCAGTCAGCAGCAGATTCAGGTTGTCAAAGGGACTTAGCTTTTTACATTAACTGTATCATATCTTAAGTAACTGCAAATAGGCATAGGTCTGACTCAACTGGTTTTTGTTCACCCTTTGTATTAGGGATGTGCCAATGACTTCAGATGAACTGCGGTTTGTAATGGAAAAGATAATAAGGTTAGTGAGTGTTCAGTTTTGCACTTTCTCCTCTCTGGTATATTTGAGATTGTTGATGTCATGTGAAGAATCTGGATTAGACATATTCGATTGGAAAGGTAGGAAGGTTAAAGTTATTTTATGTTTGTTTACGGGCAGGACTACTATGTGTGAAATGGCCCTTAACTTGTGATGTTCCTTTGCTAAATTTAATTTATTGTATCATAACAATGTCTTGATTTTTCATTTTTACTTTTCTGTAGGGCCATGAAGGACCTTGATTTTCAAGAGCTTCCTCCACTCGTCTATCAGTTATTGCTTCTCTCCACAAAGGTACACAATCCTCTTTACTTGGGCCGCTACATGTAATTCTATTGCTTTGTTTTTTTCTGAAAACATCTTCTCTGTCTTTTTGATTTATAACATTCTTCATCAGGGCTAGTGATAAGCTTTTTTGCAATTGCAAGACATGAATGTTCACCCATGTGTGTGCAATCTGTCAGATAACCAGTATAAGCACATTTGGTTTCTGGTATGTGCCTTGTGTCTTCCTGCTCATATTAGTATTTGTTTGTATTATCTATAAGGGTCACAAACAGCTCGTTCTGGAGGGAGTAACATCTTTTTTTAACAACTTGGATGAAACATGTCGCAAGGAGAACAAAGAGGATAGGTTGGTTATCTGTGAATCCTATTATTTTCTTTTCATTGGATTTCGCTAGTAGTTTCCTTACTCTTTAGAATTACAGTTTTAGGGTTGATTTGTGTTGATGTTTGGCATTGCCATTGCAGTTCAGAAGTTCAGACCATGTCCAAAGACCAGCTGCGCCATATGGAAGGAACTGTAGTTCTTCACATAACATTTGCTGTAAAACAAGATCAGGACCTAGGAAAGGAGTTCATTAAATATTTAAAGGTATTGGCAAATGGTTCCTAAAGGTGCAATCCAGTAGTAAATACACAGCAATTATTGTATTTTGAAAAGCTGATAACGTATTAGTGATTTGTGCCTGATACAATTGCAGTTATTGCAATAAGAATTTTTTGAAAAGTTACTTACAGAGTCTTTATAGATGGACTTGTTTTGATTTTTACCATACTTTGATCTTTAAATGATTACAGGAGTATATGATAAATGTCAAAACAACTTCATCTATATAGACTCTGCAAGTACCTTTTAGAATTCTTATTGCAATGTCCTCCTGCTCTTGCAGGAAAAGGAATTGTTAGGTTTTGCACAAAATGTTTATGTTGGTTGCTTTAAACTTTCATGAGTTCAGAGCTCTTGTGTTTTCTGCCCTGTTTTTCTTAACCCAGCACAGCATTGAAGTTTGATTATTCAGCCGTACTACTTTTTGTTTAGTATTTTCCAGGATAAATTTGGGATTTTGTGATTTTTGGATGTTGCTATATACTCTTTTTAAGAAAACTCCCACTGAGTTCGAGAAGTATTATATAACAGTAATGTTGTTGGTCATTTACTGCCAAGATAGTTTTCAACCATAGGGTACATTGTATTTTAGGCAGTAAATCTGTTTATTGTGTTCTGCACAGGCTCACCAAAGCTGCCCTGGTGTGGTACTGACTCCATTCAATATTGCATTAGCTCTCTCTATTGCACAGATTCATAGATTTGAAGAAATGGTAAGGATTAACGCCATGCTAGCTTTTTTTGTTCCCACTCTATTGGAATGTGACTTACAAATCTCAGTTTGGGACAAACATGATAAGATGAAGGCAAGAAATGGTAAACATACCTGCAAATTCGATGTGGTTTAGCCTCTTGATTCTTGTCAAAAAACATCAGTTAGAACAGATTGCTTGAGGAAACAAAATATATTTGCTGACCAGTCTACTTCAATCACGTCAACCACCAAAAAAAGTATTCATTAAGTAATATTAGCAAAACATTACAATATTTAGTACACATTTGAAATGTCAATGTGCTTAAAAGATTTAAAACTACAATTATGACTGTTATAAAATAAATTCTAAAAGTGAACAATGTGCAATATGTTTACTATTAATTTTATTCAAATATTAGATATTTGACTTTCTGAAGTCAGCTGTACTTAAAAGCTTTAAAGATGAAGAGAGAAGAAAGCAGTCAAAGTGGGTGCGAGGTGAGCTCCTTGTGCGCTGGTTTTGTGGCAGACTATTATATATTTCACCAAAGAGAAACCTACTGTGAAAGGTTTGAACCAAGGAGTCATTTCATAAGTAGGTTGAGTGTGATCGTCTGGGTGTACATAGCACATACTGCTGTTGACCTCGGAAACGTTTTGCCTTCAGTTTTCTTTGTAGCTGTGTCACTGTGTGTTTGACCTATTGTCAATGAGACAAAGGTATTAATTTGGGATTCTGATCAGAACAAAATCTCATTTTATAAGTTTTGTACGTGTGGCCCATTAATTTAGTTATGCAGAGAGCAGACTTGATATTTTAAGGGATGTATGGAAAAATTACCTTTGTCTAGTACATAAGCTTAACCCTTTAACCTCTAACAATGATCAGCCTTTTTTTGCTATTACGTTAGTGACGACTCTGGCTGGCAAGAGGATTAATAATATGGTAGCAGTGAAGTAATCTTCTTTCCATTTTGAATATTTCATTTCTACCTCAGAAAATATCCCTGCATCTTCCTCTGTTCAGGATCAGGTACTGGAGACAGTTCAGAACAGGTAAAAGGTCAAATGACTGTGCTTGATTTTGTCTCTGTTAACCTGGTGTTACGTTTATTTATTTATTTTTTTCATCTGAGAGATTCAAGTAAATTTATTACAATAATATTACTCTGTGTGATTGTTCTATCATAGTTTGTTTGGCTGGGATCATGTGACTCAAGGGTTGGTGCAGCTAGGTTTCACTCTGATGGATGCATTTGGTCCCAAGATGTTTGGTAAATATTGTGGCACTTTGGTATTAACCAGACTACATTATAATGATGATTGTGGTGTTATGTATAACACTCAGTAGTTAAAACACTAACCTAAGGTCAAACTGTCAGCCAAATTTGATGGACAGACCCTTACCTCATGCAGGGGACAGCTGTAGACGGAAGAGGTTTGCTGTGGCATAACTGTTGCTTTCTCAGGGCTGTTGTGGAAAACATCTTTGAGCAAAAATTACAAAAATGTATAAGGTCACCATAGTACTAAAAGTATTTTATGTCTGTCAGTGACTTGTGTTTTTGTGCTCTCTTGTAGATTCTACAACCTTACCGAATCTGTCTCCAACACAACACTCGTACAAGCTTGGATCCTCCATTCTGCTTGATACTTTCAAGGTAGATTCTGTACCGCTGTAGATTTTATACTGCAGCCTGGCAAGCTCAGTTGGGAGAATGCCAGTCTGCTTAGTGGAAGGTTGCGGGCTCAAACCTCAGCTGGACCAACACTTTAACACAGGGTCCTTAAGTAACTGAAAAGAAAGAGCTGCCTTTGTAATGACATCTGCAAACAGTTTGACTTTCTGTTCTTCTCGGATAAGGAAGAAAAAACGTAGGTCCCATCTCACAGCGCTTTCACTTATCTGGTTCTTGTGGAACGTAAAAGAACCCACACCATTGTTCAAAAAGAGTAGGGGATGTAGACCCCAGTGGTGTGGCGAACCTTTCCTGGGCTGGGTGGGTTATCTGTAAGGAGAGATCGTAATTCAGCAATAACCTCATGATCCTCCTTCAGGTGTCATAATGGCTACCTGTAAACAGTGTATGTATATTATAAGTTGGAGCCAAGAGACACTTTTATTGAGTAAATTGTGAATGTGACCTGCCAATGTTTATAGACAATGAAAAATAATGACAATTAATCTGTATGTTTTTACACACCTTTTCAGTTTTCTTTGAGCTCTTTATTGTTATTTTTTTCAGGCTCATGAAATGGTCCGATCTGAAATTCTTCAACAAATCCTGAACAGAGTGATTACTAAGGCAACTACACCAGTCAATCACTACATTGGTAAGAGAAAATTCTGTACAATAAAACGTTATGCTTTAATGAACACTGGTGTGCTTTACTAGGCAGTTAAGTTCTGAGTGTATAATATTGAGAAGGATAGGACTGGGATGTCACAGAAGTTGTATAGTTTTGAAATAAAAAGTGTATATGTTGTGGTTCAATTTTATCCTTGGTTTAAATTTTATTTTCCTTTGTTTCAAACTCATTATTATACATTACCACACCCAAAAACAAAGGAAAACAAAATTTAATCCAAGGATAAAGTTCAGCCACAACATATATACATGGGGTGAGTTCGCTAAATTGAAAAGTCCTTCCCGGTGATTTATCAGGGCTTTGGATAAGTTTTTAAACATAGGGATACATTTATCCCATATGTGATGAGCCATTCTTCATCACTTTCTGAAATAATACTGTAAAGGACTTCATGGTGGTTGCTATGAGCTTGATAGTGTCTGAAAAGGTTCAGACATTGTAATGTCTTTTTCAGATCTCCTAGCCAGCACTGTTTCTTCAGCACCACATGTGTTACTGGAATCAATGCCAAGGGTAACAACCATTAAATTTGAAGCACTTTATTACATAAGTAATAGAAACAGAGAACAAATCACAGTTGTGAGAGTCCATCTTGACAATTCTTCAAATAAGATCATGGAAAGTGCCAGTCAACAATCCCAATTTCTTTTTATTCGCAGTTCACATGTTTTTTAGGCCTTCACAAACTCTGGAAATACTATCAATATCGCTTTTCAGAAAAACATTATTTTGTATCTTGAAAAACTTTTTTGCAAGACGAGAACTTGCAGAAGTACTGCAGTAGAACATAAACTCAGAATTTTTGTGCATCATTACTCTAAGTCAAAAAGTCAGCATTGTACCATTTGGGCTGACAAAAGCACCTGTAACACTTCAGTTGCTAATTTGCTTTTTGACATAGAAAACCCTTTTTTATTTTGTATGATGAAGAATTTTCCATGAGACAAGAATTTGCAGACCTACTGCAAAACAAAAATGTTAGAGAATTTTTCCTGCATCATTGCTGTTAGTCAAAAAACCAGCATTGTACCATTTGGACTAACAAATGCACCTGTAACGTTTCAGCAGCTAATCGTATCAGGTTGCTGGTTCTGAAGTCTTAAAGTTTGTAGATAACCTCCAAAACCATGACCAGCAAAAATAAAGCAAATCAATAGCTGCTCTGCACCCTCCATGTTTCAGTGGCCTCTGAAAGGGGTTCTGAACTTGTCAGTTCAGCTATGGATTACTTTGAATATCATGAGTAGTAAAAAAATAAGACAAGGTAATACCTGTTATTCAGTCTTGTCTAAGAAATGTTTTTCAACCAATGTGTTTTCCAGGTTAAAGAAGCTCTGGACTATCTGTCCTTTTTACCCCCAAAATCTGCTGAAGGGTTTCTCAAAGCAATTCAGGTACAGTTAAGAGTTCTTATTTTTCAATGTTCATATTTTTATCAAGAGTGAGAAAAATTTAACTGGCACTCTTTTTGGTGATGCCAATGCATCTTGTGCTACGCTTCATTATCCAGTAAATATTTTTGATCATTGTTTATCTTGTACAAAATGTAAAGGTTTTTTTCTTTACAGCCTCTGTTAAAGATCAGTTTATCCCTACGTGATTCACTTATTCTTGTGTTACGAAAGGCAATGTTCTCAAGGTAAAAGTCAAATTACTATCCCTTCAATTATACCATTTTGCGTCAGTTAATGAAATGTGTTACAATGAACCTCATAACATTCTTGGGCATGTCTGCTCTTTATGAGGGATTGAAATAGGGGTGACTGTGATGACACTAAGCCGCTAATGACTTTGTAAAATTTTCACAGGCAAGTTGATGCACGTAAGATTGCAGTAACAGGATTTCTTCTCATTCTTAAGAATTTCAAGGTACAAGCTGTAATGAGTATGTAACTGCCGAAGAGAATAGCTAATCTCCTTATTATATGGTTCATATTCTTGTACGTCTTTTGAAAGTGAAGGGAATACAGGAGAATGTTTTGTTTGGGGCCTACATGCTTATCATCTGAATGATATTTCTTATACAAAATGTTTGACGGTTGAATACATGGGGAAGGTTTATTTTTATTATAGAGGGGATCTTTGGAGGATATCTCTGAGGGGTTATTTTTCCATCACATCTAGAAACAACATTTTTGAGAGTTCTTAATTCTGTGGAGTCTTCCCATATGAGCAAATAGCTTAGTCACAGATGTGATGCCTTGCAGATTTTAGGAGGAGGTATATCTTCTAGTCAACCAGCCAGCCAATTGAGTCAAACACTATCACATTCTAGTCAAATCCAAGTGGATGTCCATGTCAGAAGCAGTGGAGTGGGCAATGAGGCTCTGTGTTTGGAGATACTAGGTGAATATAGCACTTGAACATTTATTTATCAGACAAGAGGTGACATCTGCGAGGAAATTCGTCAGTAGCCAACGCAACTTCATATTATTTACCTCTGTCAATGCAGCCTGGCATTAGGTTATTTCCTTTTGACCTGGGTCAGCTTAGGGCAAACCTTCTCACCTAGTGAACATGAAGTTAAGAGCAATTCCATCAAATGGCCATTGATCAAAGTATAGTAAACCCGTTGTTTAACCAGTATAGAAAGTGTTTTGGGTAAAGTAAACTGATATATAGCTAACGAGAGCTATTAGTCAGTCACTGAAGACATTTAGTTGTACAAGTTATTAGAACCCTGCCATGGTGGTTCCATGTTAGTTCTTATTGTTGTTGTTTTCTGCTTAAGGAAACCTACGTCGATGTTTGACTCAACAAGCAGACGTCAGGGTGCAATTGTATGAGGTATAGTCTGCAAACATTACAATTTCCATATAACCATTTGTACAAATTTTTATATACAGCAAACGTATGCTTCGGTAATTATCTATCTTTTTTATCTTCCCAATGTTTCACTGATTTCACCAAATGTAGACTGATATTGAGGTCAAACACCTTTCTAGTGTCAGTACAATGGCTGTGATTGAACAATAATTTCAAAAAGAGCCAGAAATTCTTTTCATTTTCGTTTGAATTGTGGTAAAATTACTAATAAATAACATATGCAAGTCATTGTAACTATAAACTGAAATGTTTTCTGTTAGTGTTATTTTCTTCTTTTTGTTCGTTCCAGGGTTTGTTCCATGTGCTTTATAGAAACCCTCAGCTACAGCAGCCAATTTTAGACATGTTCTTCAACCAGGTACAACGCATTTTCTTTTTGTTTTGTAGTTACCATTACTTCTTTTGCATTCGGTTATCTTTTTGTCTGCTTAAAGCTGTGTTGTAGGATTAGACTTTCAATCCGACTTATATACGTAATAGCTAAGTTATTTCAAGAGGAATTTGTGGTAAGGATAGGCATCCTGGCGAGGTACATGGCTGGCCTTCTACTTAGAGGTAGATGCTAGAAAGTGCATAGTCTTGCCCTTACTCTGGCGTTGCCATTTGGGCTGACAAGCGCACCTACTGTATTTCAATGACTGCAAGTAATAGTGTTGGCCATGTAAGTTGCAACACCATACAGTGTGTTGTCATTGCACCCTTTTAGAGTGATTGGATACTAAGATGTATGTCAGTGACATTTCTTTGATTCCGTGCGTATCAAACTTCCACCCGATGACTGTTTTTCTGGCATGCCTGTGACAAATAACCTTACGACTGTTTTAATACATTATGTTATCACAGTTTCAGAGGTATGTTGAATCTGATGAAGATGTAAATCCTCCTATCAAATTAGAGCCGTGCCTTTCAGCTGCAGGTGATCAAGTTTACCTCACAGAACCACTGGTACGTTCTTAAATTTTTACTCCTCGTTGTTCTCAAGAATAGTGTTTCTTATTTTGGTTGTTTACATTACTGTTAGGCCCATTTGCTGTGTTATCTTCTACATTCAATGGCAAAGTGCATTGAAAGTTACAACCAGGAAGAGGATGAGCGGAATGGTGAGTGTGTTTCTAATCTTGACCTTTCGTTTTAGCACAGTGCCAGAGCGTCTGGACTAGTCACCAAGTCATAGGTCTCACTCTTGTGGGAAGAACTCAAATTTTCCCCATTCACCTGTTTCACAAACTGATTAAAATAACAATTTGATTTCGACCCTTGTTCCTTATAATGGTTTCAGATTCTATGGAGCATATTTTGAATGAACTAGAGGATCTATTCCAATCACTTGTACGTAGGATGAATAAATCTGAAATGGAAGACTTTGAGCTGGTAATTATAATATTTTAAGTGGATTTGGTTTTTCATGACATGGGCTCTTTTTGTTTTCAACCTTTTTATTCATTTTTTTTTTTCAGGACAAGTCTGCTGATTTTTCTTTGACCTCAAGTGTTGGTATCAAGAACAACATCCTTGCTCTACTTGTTCTTGGAGTTTATGAGGTAAGCACTCAAGTTGTTGTCAAGTTTTGTCTTTAAAAGCTTCTTTTCGTCTGAAAGTTATTTCGATGTTTTATCCTCACTGAGAAGAGATTAAGTAGAGCTAACTGTAGAAACCTGACCAGATGTCCAGTGACAGCAAATACTCTTGGAGAGTTGCTTTAGTTTTAAGTGTCTCTTTGCATTTTTTTATCTCTAAGAAAGAACACCCTTTTGATTGTCTTTGTTTAGGTTTTATTCGAGTACAGTTTTGCTGAAGGAGAATTAAGGTTGGTTACTTTTGCGTGGGCCGTCCTACACCTCTATGAGCATAGTGCATAGTAAAAAAAAAAAAAAAATAGTGCCCAGTAACTTTGGTTTAATAATATTATTGCCAGATCACGAATTGGAGGAGGAATTTGCTCTCAGTCTGTATTGTTATTGTCATTAGTCTCGCTTGCGTAAGCATTTAGAACACAAAAAGGGAGTCATGCCCCTAGGCGTTTCTGGCGGACACCGTGGAAACTGGGAATAAGAAACATTGCGTGACCGAAGCCACGCATGTTTTGCGAAGAAAGCTTGGGTAAAATTAAATTTAGAGCTTTTCCGGAACGGGTCGGCCCACAAATTCTATCGCTTGAAAGCGTTGATTACTTTGGAAGGAGTGAACACTTCAGTGGTCGAAAACAAAAAGAAGAAGAATTATCTTAATTAGCAAAACGTATGCAAATGAGTCGGTTTATTTTCGGCAATGATTGAAATAACGCGCCATGTTCTCATCACGTTTTTCACCTCTGGCAATGATGTTAGTTCTCTCGAATCGAGGCCCTTGAATTTTCGAGTAATTAAACACGCGTTTGCCGCAGACGTGTTCCGGTCGTTGCTAACACGCGTGCTAAATTAATTAGGAAACAAATCGTCAAATACGATATGAACACTGAATATCCTGAAGAATACTCGACCGTCAATGAATTAAAGTAGGAAGTGAAAAACCTCTACCGAGTAAATCCTGTGTCGTGTAGAATTAATCACCTCCTCATTTCTTATCTAGTCTCCAAGCAAGCGACACTGACAGCCTGTTTAAGAGCGTTCTTGTTAATTATGTTATTGCTGTTGTTGTTAGTACTGAATCAACTGAAGAGATAATGCAGCTTTTTGGCAATTATCACCAGCTGTCTGAGATCCTGAAGGAAAAAGCAAATGCAACTGGTAAGGTGGCCTTTTGATAAAGGCTGGAATTTAGTATTAACTGAATTCTGTAATTTGTAATAACTCACACAGAACCTGACTACATCGAAGTTTTATGTGTTTTATTATGACAGGAAAAAAAGGCCGTGCAGCAGTTGGAAAACAAGGAACCAAAAGCATGCTGTCTTTGGAGTGCTCAGCATCCTTGTTAATAGTATTATTCTGGTATATATAAAAATAATCCATTGTCTAGTTTGTCTGTGGTTACAATGTTGCTATCTTTGATTTTTTAACACAATATCTTGACCTCTGTTAATTGTGGATATCCTTAGTGATACAGCTCCAAGCCATCAACAGGGCCTAACCACGCTGAGAGGCTCTAGAGACCTTATCAAATATGCTGTCAATACAGCTCTTCAGAAGCTCAAAGAGGTACTTTTTAGCCCACTGCTGATAAGAATATGCATACCTATTACTTGCATCCACATGGTCAATGACTTGGCCAATTGGCCAATTGGCCCAAACACCTAGTTTACTCAAGACGCACGTAGGATATTAGCCTGCGTGGCAAGCGTTTGAAAAGGAAAGGAAAGGGGGTTTTGGGCGCGAGGGAAGCGCGAGGGGCGCACAAGGAGGGAGGGAGCGAGGGAAATTCCTCCCCTCCCTCCTCGCGCGTCCCCTCGCGTTTCTCTCGCACCTAAAACTCCCTTTCCCTTCCCTTTCAAACGCCTGCCACGCAGGCTAATAGGATATACAAATACATGAAAGGACTTCATCTAAATTATACGCAGGTAAAATGTCTGAAGGATAGATGTTAGAGAGCCATGACGACGGCGACTAAAACGTAAAAAAATCAGTTAGTGTAATTAGCAATTAAAACAACAGAAATGCAGGTGCATCACTTGTTTCTCTAGTATAAGATTCTTTTGTCATAATATTTGACCATTGCTAACATTTTCTTTTCTATTTTTTGTTGCGGTTTTTCCAGATCAATGAAAGTGGCAGTTGTGCTGGTCCTGGTGGCTCTAGCAAGGAACATATTTACAAACACTGTTGTACAATTGCAAGGTTATGTCAGTTTTGGTTTATTTACACATTTTTAATTTAACTTTTCACGCTTAGAGTAATCAGCACTAACTTGTCTTTTTATTTTAGAGTGTTCTGGAAACACATGAATGGGGAAAGCTGTTTACAGGAAGACCATGACAAAAAAGACAAGGTACTGAAATCCAACCGCGAAGAAGAAAGTTATTTATTTAGGCTTTCAAATAGTGGATGATTTTTGAAGAAATCAAACCAAACGTTAGCACACTTTTTTGTGGGTGAGGAAATGGGTGAGGAACTAGGAGTTCTAAGAGGTTCTAACAGGGGGAAATCATCCAACAGCACCTAATATTTCACAATCGTAAAAAGGCGAAAGAGTGCAAGCGAAGAAAAAAGGGACAGGAGCCGGGAATGCAAGGTTCGGGAGACGGGAGGCGTGGACCTCCCAGCCCTCCCTCCTTTTTATGGGAATTAAGTTTACCTTGCCTTCCTTCCTTCCTTCTTGGTTGTGATTTCCCCTTGTCTCCTCTAGGTGAAGTTTTCATAATTTTTTGGAAAGCAAAAGTCTCTCTAATCTTTTTTTCCCAGGGTAAAAAAATCAACAGTTTGTGTGTGGAAGGATTTTGCATCGTGGTTAACATTATGTGTTGCATGTACCCCCAGAAGTTGCCCCATTTCTTGAGCGTAATAGGTGCGTGGTAAATCTTTATTTTGCTTTTATTTTTTCAAATGGTTTTAAAACCCTTAACACCTACGGAGTTTGCTGTTTCAAAGACATTTTTATCCTTCTTTAAGCTTATCGATAGTGTTCTCATTCCCAAGAAAGGTGACATATTAGGTCATCACATACTTGAAAACAAAGCACAATGCCCTGAAAAGCCACTACTGTAGAGGATACATTTAAATCGTCACTTATACGCGTTTGATGGAAAATAGCTATTGATTCTGATGCTGAAAGGCTAAGCACTCGCCTGTGTATAATCTTACCCTGGTTCTGGGCCCCCAACGGACTCAACTAATTACCGGAAGTATGTTTCGAATATGTACCTTCAACCTGACTGGCAAATTGACAATGGCTTGTTTAACAGGCCAATCATGGCGCTTACTCAAATCCTGGGACACAGCTTGGGACCCAGAACAAGGATTTTAGCGCTGGCTCGCAGACGGACATAACCTGAGGTTTTGTGTCGTCTGTAGCGCTGGTTAGTTAACGACACGATTTGCCTGCTTAGAGGTAACTGAAATGGTATTACATAACAAGTTAAAATGGGTGTTGATGGCTCACTCATAGACAAGTGTACCTGATGTAAAAATACCACTACATGTACTGCAGTGGTTGTCATAATTGTTTTATTATCTTAGACTCAAACCAGGATAAAGACAAAAGTTCAACTGAAGAAACAACCAACCAAGATGACGTTTATTCACAAATAAAGAAATTCCAGGTCTGCAACACTTTTTTTGTTGATTCTACCAGTGCTCATATTGCGTAACATTTCGTTATTTTGTTTTGTAGGTTAACGCATTTCACGGTTACCGGTCGATTCGATACACCAAGTTAATTCCTTCAAGGTGTAAATAATTTCACGTACTTCGCTTAAAGAGCGAAGAATATTCACCCAAAATGTTTTTCTTGTTCAATTGCAAACTTTACTTGTAGTGATCGAAATTTTTGTGTAATTTCACTGCTTGAGTTTGTATCGAAACGACCGGTTTCGCATTTCACCACAGCAGTGCCTTGTGGTCATTCCGGAGCTCGAAAAAAGTCCCGTAAGGTAGCCCAAAACGGGTAGATTTTTTGCGGGATCATGTGCTTCTATACAATTGTGGAAATGCTAATGAGATACTGGCTAAATAACTAACTGTAAAATAGTTACTTCTGAACTTTAAAATGACCGTCGAACGGTCGAAACGTGGTTCGTATTTAACGTTAATTTTTATGGTGAAATCCGCTTTAAAAAATTTGTTGATTCGAAGTAACTTTTTTAGCTTACTAACCGGATGAGCGCGAGTCCAGATAAGTCATCCGCTAACAAAATCATTAAGCCCTAAGAGTGATCAGCATCAAATTTCTCCTTGTAATAACAATGCTTTGTAAAACTTAGTGGTCATAAGAATTACAGACATGATCACACAAGATGAATTTGCCTTATATTTTATCAACTTCTCCCCTCTACTTCTGTAGGAAATGAATAGGTGCAGCAAATGAGAATTCAAATTTTGATCTAAGGGTTTAAAGGGTTAAGGTGGCTCGATAGGGTTTTTTCATTGTCAATACCTCCCAAGTTTGAGCATAAGCTACGTCGTCATTAACAAAGATTTGGAAAAATTATTACCACATCTGTATTAGATAAAGATGAAAATTCGTTTTGATCAGGGTTACAATGACATCGGAGTTGTCGTGGCATCGAAATTACGTCATATTTACATGCAGCCGTATTTCTCGGCACTGGGAACTCCTCTTTCAAAATCGTTCTCGGGAGCTTTTTCCTCTAATAGCCGCGTCGATGTTCGTGAAGTTAAAGCGAAATCCATAAAAGCGTTATCGAGATATTTTGGGATGAAGGTATTTATGGTTAGAAATATAACGGTAAAAATTGGACAATCTTCATATTTGGTCGTTATCTGTAGAAAATGAAGCGCTTTGCCTTTTGAAATGCAATTTCACCTCATAGTAGTTTCAGTCTTTTTAAAAACGTGTGTGAAAGAAGTTCATATTTTGATTTTCAAACGTTTGTCTCCAGCGTTTGATCATCAGCATCATCTCGTCACCTGATGAGGACGGTGACATAAGTCTGAAGGACACTCAGTCACTTGTTACTGTCATCTCACTATTAGCACAGCATTTGGAGCCAGATGGACAAGAGGTAATTAAAAAGTTGACATTCGGACGGCTTTGTGTGGTTCCCTAGCCCTATGAAGCAACTTAATTACCCATTCTCTGTTTTGCCCCCATTTCGGAGTCTATACTCTGCCTTTTTTTCCTCCCATTTATCGTTTTCCCGTTCCGGTTGCTTACTGCCCTTCACCCGATTTATTGACATCCTTTACATTTTTTGTACATAGTTTGCGCAGTTACAGACCTGGGTACACAGAATATGTGCAGACCACAATGTTGGTGAGAAATATAATTTCTTTTTCAAGATTATTGTGATCCCGCTCTTGTTTCAAGTGACCTATCTGGCTATTGGGCATCCCTTGGGTCATCTGGTTCATGTGCTCTATCTGGTATGTCTGGATCCCCTGGCTCCTGCAAAAAACAGATATGTGTTAATGTACCAAAGATATCCGTAATAGTTAGGGGTGTTCGTATCGTTAAGGTCTACAAAATAAGAGGTTTCACTGTATTCTCTATCTAACTACTTTTTTGTAGATGATCCTTCACTCACCAAGTGTTTAATGACCCTGCTGTACTCTCTTACACTGCAGTCAAAAACAAGCGCAGGATTGGTAAGTTAAAAAAAAAGAACGAAAGCTTTTCACTGTTTATCATACTAAGTCTACGGCTAAACATGAACTTTATATATCTTTATATATGAACTTTATATCTTACAGGACCTGCATTGATAGCAGTTTTTTTCCTAAAACTGAAGCAGCAATCCTGCATAAATATGTTTAAATTATTATTATTATTATTATTATTATAAATGTCCTTTGTGCCAAACCAATGCTGTTCATCCATACACATCATGTTTCTTGTCATGTCACATCATCTTTATATCATGTTTCAAGTTGTTTGTGCTGTTCACTTCACTGCTATTCGACTTCCAGGCAAAGAAGCAAGTCTCTTTGACTCCACTCCAAGGTAACAGGATGTAATTCTCTCTCTCATTGCTGTAGGTTCGCGATATTGCTCAAGACGTTCATAGTCAGCTTGGAGATGTTGATGAGGTACAGCAATTCATGTAGTACAGTTCATACAGTTTGGGAGTTGTACAGTATCTTCTGAGGCCCTTATATGGAGAAAACCTGTCCCGGGTAAAAGGGTCACAATCCCAGCCGAATCAACTGTAGTGTGCGTTTACATGCGAAAAACGTTGACCCCTTTGACGTATCAACCGCCCTCGCGCGTGCTCTGATTGTCTCGCCTTGACTGAGTTGACTCGGCTGGGCGAACCAAAACGTTTATGTGGAGTTGGCCGGGCTAGAAGGTAGACCCCATCACCACAAAGTAGACAGTACTTTAACTATTTTTTAAATATATTTTTTTTCGGTCTGAGAACGTATCGCAAACAGGTTATGCAATGCATTCCCGTTTCTCCATGGTCAATGTTTTTTCCAAAACAGCGCCCATAAAGTGGAAAAAAAGCAAAATATATTTAGCTACGTCACGAAATGGCGATAATGACAAAAAACCAATACGCGAAACACTAACATACGAGATTAACGATGCAAGTCTTAACTCCACCACAGTACCCTTGTTCGAAATTTCTCAGAGAAATCAAACTCAGTCATTCTGTATTCCCTTTCAGGAAATTGAAGTTGAAGACAGAACTCATTTTGCAATCGTTAATCCTAGAACTGCGGCGCCAACTGTAGCAGTAAGTCCAGTCCAGTATATTTTGCCAATTCAGCAATCCTGTTGCTATGGAGTTGCATTGTTGAATTGTCGTTCGAGGTATCGAGTAGGTCAGCGGTTGTCATGCGGTTTTGGCGGCCCTTCAGCGGCTCCGTCAATTTTTGTAGTTTTTGCTATGTTTTTCATCTTTTTTTTTTCTTTTTCGCTCTTTTGTGTTGACATGGTACCGCTCTAACCTAAAGTTATCTGTTTTGTGGTGTTCTATTTTATTTTTATTAATTAATTAATTGAATTAATTATATTTCCTTCGTCTTTATCCTTCGCGTGTCACAACCCTATAGAATGTAGTCTAATTATTGTTACTTCTCAGCTGGTTTAGTTTTTTGCTATTCTGGGTAGTTTTTTTTTTTGCCTGATTTACTTTGATTTATTCTTTATTTTGTAAACGTTTTTAAGTTGGCAAATAAAATGGTTGGTTGTTGTCAAACAATTCAGCGAAACCAACTTTCACTTGCGTACTCCTCTTCGTTTTTTCCAAATGGAAAGAGTTTATCACTAAGTATTTTGAAAAAATTATCCTTGGAGCTTGTGCTAATGGTCAACTTTAAAATTTGCATAGCTGCTACTGGTGAATCAGATTGAGAAAATTGTGGATGAAATGGAATGGGCACTAGTAAAGGTCAAAGGCGACACCATATCAAACGTAACGGGTACAACAGGTGAGATGGGAATAGTATACGTGTTACCTGTAACTCTCCCTAAGGGCCTGTTTACCTGGAGTTGGGGGACCCCAGGTGGGTGAGGTAACCCGCTTAGGTGGGGTAACCCGCCTGTCCATATAATCCCTTATGTGCTTGCTACCTCATCTACCTGGGGTCCCCCACCTCCATGTAAACAGCCCTAAGAGTAAGGGCAAATATTCACCCAAAAAGCACCGTACCGTCCCAGCAACAATGCGACCCGTTTTGACTTTTTTTTTACCTTGGTGATATGACCGATTGAAAAGGGATTTAGCCTTTGAAAATCAACTTTCTTTGCGTCCTTATGCTGTCGTGAAGGATTAATTAAGTGCTAGGCGTTGTCCCTTTTGTAAACGGTCGTTGCCATTTTTAAGACACATAGCTGATTTTTCACCTGTTAATGAGAGTGTTCCTATTAAAAAGAAAGAAAATTACAACCCGGGGTCGAACCCGGAACGTTAACATGGGTTAATATTGTTTAGAGGACAAGGTTCCAAGTTCCTCTGAAAGCTGTCCACGTGGTGTCCTAGGGCAAGCTATTTGCCACCGTCTCTGCACGGTTGTTGCTGCTCTTCATGAGCTGTCTCAGTCTGCTCTTCCAGAAGGTCCGTGTACGGAAGCCGCGCTCAAGGTAAGTGCGAGTTCTGCACGTGTGACATACGAATTTCTGGTGGCCCTTTTTTCCCTGGTCACTATGGCCGTGCTTTCCCGTTGAAAATACTCCACTTAAAACAAGAGCTGTCTATTCCAGCAGGGTTCGTACATGTAATAGAGAACCTGGAAGGTCATGAAATTTAATTGTTGGTCCTTGAAAGTCATGGAAAATTAAAGTTTTTTGTGGTAGATTAGCTACTTCAAATGACGGGAAGGGACAATGTAAGATAATTTATAAAGAGTAGGAATTAAACAGTGCGAACAGCACGCTTTTTTGTGGACACCAGAGTTTGTATCTGTCCTTTGACCTTTTTAAAGGTCAAAGGATACTCTAAAAAAAAAAAACAACTTGAAAGTGACAGCTAAACCTATGGTCATGGAAAACTTGAAAAGGTCATAGAAAAAGTCATAAAAAGTCATGGGATTTGAAGAGCTCAAAAGAATATGAATTCTGTTAAAACAAAAGCTGTCTATTCCGAGTGTAAATTTCATTTGCATTTAAGCAAAAGTTATTATTTAGTCGTAAAAGAGATCACTTCTGGCACTTGGTGTTTTTTAGTCACGTGGTACTAAATCCGGCCCTCTGTTTGGCTGGCGTCGGAAGTGACCTGTTTTACTTCTGTAGTTTGTCTTCTTCGGTACTGCGGAAAGGGTTTAGTTTAGTGTTTTTTCTTTGTAGGTCCTGACAAAAGTGTATAATACCCTTGGTGCTCTTGCAAAATATGTAAGTGAAAATTAATCACATTTCTTAATTACACCTCAATTTTGAAGTTACAGCAAGGAGCCCAAAATTCTGACCACTTTTGATTTATTCACATTCTTTTGTACAGATTTAATCCAATCAGAAGCCAGCTGGAAACTGTCCTCGATTTCTGATTGGTTAATGTCTGCATGAAAGAATATGAGTTAATTAAAGGAGGTCACGCTTTTGGGCTCCTTGTTGGCTGAGTCAATAGCGGTTAGGCTTTTTCATGCCAAATACTATCTCAAGAAACAGAAGTGTAAATTGTGACTGGACTGGTAAAATTTCGTTGTTTCCTTCTGTAAGAATTCTTTTGGTTGTCGTTTTCATTTTTTTGGCACTAATGATAGCTTCTTCAGTTTTTAATACATTTTTAGTTGAAATGCCTAGTAAGAGGTAGACTACGAGTAGTCCCCCATTTTTCCTCAGGAATAGTAGAGCGAGCAAAACGCGAGCGCGCTTGAAAATCAGCCCACGCGAGAAAAGGCGACACGCGGCGGGAGAGATTTGCTCGCTCTACTATCCCTGGGGAAAAATGGGCGACTACTCGTCGTCTAAGTAAGAGGTCGACAAGTAAAAATCTCTGCTTATTTTGTTACGTTGTTCGTGGTGATTACGTGGCGCAATGTTATTTGTTTGTGTTGTAGTACTTGTCCCTATACAGTCAAAGACTTGGCTATCTTCCAGCAAAGTTTGAGAAATTGGTAAGTGACTGTATATTGCAATCTGTTGAACGAACTGGAACTTGTATCAAAGACGTGTAAGAGGTGTAAAGAAAGAGAAAACGCTTTTAGTTGGTTTTTGGATTTCACCTTTGTTCGGTTTTCAAAGTGACATTACGTGGGAACGCACATAGCGCTCGAAGGGTCCGGACGTGCCTGGAACAACTCCGCACGTTTTCAACTGCGAACTAGTCGCTTGTGCGTTGTATTTGCAAATATTTTTCTAATAAAGTTGAGTTGAGTTGGGGAACCCAGAACCAATGCACTTATAAAGAAGCCTTTTGACATTAGCTTCTCAAACTCATTAATTATTCATGCAGTCAAAAGCCAATAAATTGACCGTGTAGCTGTTTAGTTCGCTTAAACTTCATGTATCTCAAACGCTGAACAACTCTAATAAAAATCAGATCAGGTTTAAATTCCATGAGTGTGCAAAAGTGGACGAGATTGCATGAAAGTTCCGGCCAAAGGAGAAAAGATTTCCTTGGTCCGACTTTATTTTATCATAAATGAGTATTACATAGCACTTCCCTCAGCTTGTATTTTCTCTGAAGGTAAAAATGAGCGGCACTCACTTGTCCCAACAAGTCTACGCCCTTCTCACGTACATTCAGGCCACTCAAACTCAGAGCCTTCTGGAACAAAGTACCACTGCTAAGAACAAAGCTAAAGACAGGAAAAAGACAGCCAAGGGACAAAATCTGTCCGGAAAGGTAAACTTGTTTTTACTTTTCATGTCACCAACTATTGATTGCAGAATGGCTGGGTCTCTATAATGAAGAATGTCGACTAAATGCAAGGAGTTGTAGCTAGGACTTTTCAAAGGGGGTTCTCACTAAATAATAGATGAAATGATATTTGTGGAGAGAAGAAGACAGAAAAAAAAATTCTGAGTTCCAGATGGGAATTGAATCCACGACCTTCCGCACACTAGTCGGATGCTCTAATCACTGAGCTACCGAGAACTCAGTGGTGTGCAGATCAATTGTTGGCTGACATAACATTACGTTATGTCAAGTGAACACACAATATTAACTGCATCGCGCAGTCACGTAAATACTCTTATGAGCAATGAATAACGAATGATATGTGTGGAGAGAAGAACACAGAAAAAGAATTCAGAGTTCCAGATGGTAATTGAACCCACGACCTTCCGTACACTAGTCGGCTTCTCTAATCACTGCCGGCTAAAAGCAGTAACGCGATTAAACATAACGTTTCGGCGATGACAACATTAGTTATTTCATTTCTGTTGTTTCTTTATATTTTAATGTATTGTTTCACACCTTCGATTTCTCTATAAGGTCGAACCTCCACTAAAGGCCACCTCTCTACAACGGCAACTTTCTTCTGTCCTCAAGGTGGCCGTTGTGGAGAGGTTCAACTGTAAATCGTTTATCGTTTGCGTTATTTGCATTTGATAATGGTGACATATTGTCGCCGAAACGTTATGTTTTAATCGCGTAACATTTTATGCTTAAACAATGGAAAGGTGCGTTAAAGGATTGGTAATTATATGCGATTTTTCTTTTTTCAGGCGAAGGTGATGAAGGAAGTGAAGTCGATACCAAATCTGATTTATGCAATCGAACAATATGAACGCTACCTGATACAGTTGTCTAAAAAGTCCAAGGTAAATTCACGTTAATTCTTGTGTATGAGGAGATCTTTCGTTTTCCTTAACTTAAAAGAAAATTTTCATATTAACTCTGAAGGATGGGTAACACGGGGTAGCTTAAGCAACCACGACGTCGACGGCAACGAGAACGGCAAAAAAGCAATAGGGTTAAATTAGCAAACAACAACTTTGCACGTGCTTCAGGCTTTTTTCTACGTTCCTTAGCCGTCGCTGCACGACTACAACGTGAAAGTGCCTAATTTCACGTTTTGTCGAGGAAGGGGACACAAGACAAAAACTTTGTTTTTTCTTTTCCTGAACAGTCGTTGATTCAGTCGTTTAGAATTCATTTCCAAAAACATTTGACGAATTAAACGAGATGGAATAATCGCGATAAAGTTTGAGGCAGCGCGACTTCACTATTTAAGTGACGTTTTCGTAGCCGTCGCGGTCGTTGTTGCTTAAGCTCCCTAATATTAAAGCTCTACTTTCACCTACTTCCCCATCTTTTGACCGCCATTTTGAATTTTTAAGATGTCCTTTGGTCGCCGCTTATGCTCAACAACTCTCCACTTTAGAAACGAGAAGGAAGCCTCGCAAAGACTTCTGGGACTGCTACTAGGGGCGGGAAAAATCGGCCAATAGCTGAGCGGCGCGTCCCCAGTAACCATCCCAGTACGCCTTGTCAAAGGATGACAACCGAGCCACTTTGAATTTTTGAACTTCACCATCTCTCGCCTTCCTCAGCTCCTCATCCTCCCGCAAGATCATTTGGCGTGTTTTTATTTCTTTTGCCATTGAGTTAAAAATATCAGCCATATGATGATATAATGTACTTCGCAGATCAACTTAATGGAACACTTCAAACGTAGCACAGCAAGAGATTTTCGCATTAATGGTGCCACATTAGAAGCTGCCCTGAGAGAAGAGTCCAGTGATGAAGAGGAAGATGATGAACATAACGCCGATGAACAAGATGAGGTAAGTTTAAACCAACGAATTCTCGCCACTATAATTACCAAACGAGAGGAACGCTGGGTCGAGTTAACTTTCGCAAAGACTTCTGGGAAAGTCAGCTGACCGGCGTGTCTCCAGTAACTATCCCAGAAACAATTGCGAGACACATTTCGGCACCAGTCCCCTTATCGCTTCTCAAGTGGACGTGTTTCTGAGTTATGTCTGGCCGAGTGATTTGGGCGCTGGGTTATAACGCTTTTACCACAAATTGTGTCATTAGAAAGCAAACACTGGCGTTGGGAATCTCTATGAACTTACGTCCTCGTTAACTCTGACTTGATGCTTCTGAGCTTACTACAGACAGACATACGCTTTATTTCAGCAGGGAGTTTCTTCAATTTTTCTGTAATTTAATTAAACTACCATCTTCTTGGCGAGGCTTGGTACAAATTTTAAAAATTATTGAAATCCTTGTACTACCATAAGAACTTAGTGACTCAAATAAAAAAGCCAATTGCCGTATATTTTAAAATCTTTCTCATATTCCGCCAATCGAGAAGACATCGAGCGTAAACCAGTTTTGGTAAAGGGAACTGCCTACCTTGTTCTCCTGCAAAACTCTGTTTTGTGATCACATTGGTTATTTGTTGTAAATAAAAGGTTTTTCTCTTCGCATTTGTTAATCAAGCTATTTATAAAGAAAACATGCTTGCACTATCTGCTTGTATTATTAGTACCAGAGTGAATTAACATAATAAATATAATAAAATAATATATAATAAAATATTTATATAGCGCTTATACTTTTCAGTTCTAAGCGCCAAAACAAACATCTCATGGAACCATTGGTCTCCGTCTGGGCAATGTTCTGTGCGACTGTTTTAAATGAGAACTCTTCAGTTTTCAGTTTTCAATTTTAAAGAACAAAAGTTAGAATTGTCTCGAATTTTGATTTGGAGAACTATCTTCTAATTCACAGAACAAGTCTCAAGAGGAGGAAAGCAAGGAGCCCCCGGCGAAAAAGGGAAAACTCATGGAAACAAACAAAAAAACAAGCAAGCTTAGTTTAAAGCAAAAATCTTCAAAACAGCCACTGTCTCAAGGAAACAAGTAGACGAACCTGCGGGTCTTGCTGTTGTGTTGAGCATAACGATGCTAATAGAGTCAGAGTAGAATCCATTTCATGCAAATTACGGAAAAGTTCTCAGCCTTATGAGAGTTTTAAGCCTTTCCGGAGCGATGAGTCTTTTAGTCAAATACAGTAAAAAACCTCGACTAAGCACCCGGGTTTAGTCCCAAGTTAGCCCAAACAGGTTCTTGCATATTTAGGTTCTTAACCCTTTAAGCCCTAAGAGGGATCAGCGTTAAATTCTCCTTGTAATATCACTGCTTTATAAAACACAGTGATCATGAGAATTGAAGGCCTGATCACACATGATGAATCTAATTGATACTTCAACAAATTCTGCCCACTGCTTCTATTGAAAACATGTAGGGACAACAAGTGAGAATTTGAATTTTGATACTAGGGTTTAAAGGGTTAAATACGTTCTCATTTTGAGACGAAAATATACGTTGTAGTTCTAAAAGTATTTAGTGGTATTCAGCTCATTCCTTATGTAAAACCTGCATACCATTACCATTGCCTGCATTGCAGCCCTCTTCTCCCAAGAGGACCCTGAATGTTGACTAACCTTACTTGCCCAAGTGTGCAGAAATTTTTTAGAGATAGAAAATAAGAACTTGTTTCAAATTTTAGGCTAAAGAGGTTCATGTATAGAGGGGACTTAACTGGCAAATTTCAGCCTAACATGTTCTTCAAAACCAAGCTCTTAGTCGCGGGTTTTTACTGTACTTCCATTCTCCCTCAGACGTATCTCTTGCGCAACGGAGAAGGGTTCAGATTAAAACGTCTTCTTCTTTTGTTGGTTCCCATAACCTTTCTCATGTTGATTGTTGTTGAGGCGTGGTAGGTCAAGTGATTGGGATTACTGCTAGGTTGGCGTTTTATCTTCTGTGACTGTTAATAGTAAGAATTCAGATGTTATCGACTCTCCTCGCGTTGCTCAGGTGAAAGACCAAATATGCGCATTATTATCGTTAAAACAACCAAAAGTGATTTTAAATATACGTGTTACGGTGCCCCGTGTGTTTGTGATACCTTTAAAATGTCTTTCTCTGAAAAGGGAAGGTTGATCGCTGTTTACTCTGTTCTGGGGCCTTTTGCGACGAAAAATGTTACTATTACAAAATGCTTCATAACTAACACGACAAAGGTGGATGAGGAGCTTTAAATTTTTTTTACACAGTTCGAGAAATTCCATGGACGCAAACAGACAGTTTTTGTTTTGCGCACAAGGTCATCTTCACGGCTACAACTGCAAATTTGGTGGAAGGACAAAAATCGTAGACGTTCATCTTGGCGAAAAATGGTTAAAGAAAACTCGCAAAGGAATTCTAGTTATTTTTTATTTATTTATTTTTTAATTTCTTTTTTGCTCCAGTTATCTTTACTTTTGCGCCAAAAAAAAAATCCATTCTTTCGGGCTTTTTGTTTGAGATAAGCAGTTGAGACACACTCAAGGTTGTCTGTTACCGCCCAATAGGCAATATATATCGCCCAATTTCCCAACGTCAAGACAGTTCTTTTTCTATTTTTTATTTTCTTATCGGCGTCTATACCCAGAGGTCACCTTGTTATGTGATGTGACTTCAAGTTTCGCAGCGATGTTGACACCGCTCCAAACCGGATCCTTTTTTATTTTTATTTTGTTCTTCTTGCCCTATTTTTATATCCCGTCGCACAGTTTTCAATGTTAGATAAAATTGCCTGTGATAAATTGTATTAATCTTACCAAAACACTCCAAAGAAACCATAAAAGGAGACACTGCACCCGGGTATGCGGACGCGAGGCTCCTGAGTTATTTTCGCGATAATATCTTTAAAGATTTTAAAGCTTTTAAAAAAGCTGCCTTACTCTAATAAAATTAATCGCATTATGCTAAGACAACAAATAAATGATAATCATGACAAAAAAGCAGACATGAGAAAGGGTTACTCAAAATTGTAAAGCCTCTTATACGCTAAACAAATATTCGGTGAAAATTCGTTCAGTGATTCGAAGTAGTTTGAAATACACAATTTAAAGAAAACACCTTATTTTAAATGATATTTGACTTTTAAAATAAATTCCTATCGGAGTCCAATTATCTCGGCCTAAAAAAACATCATAAAGTGTTAGGTGGCGGAAACGAGGGGTCTTCAATTATAGTTTCTGTCACTTTCTTTCGTCTTTTTCTTTTTTTGTATGTTTTTTTCCGCTGAGCCGCCTAATCCAAAACCGTTTAAATAACGTCACAAGAAGTCGCAATTTCGCGTCACTTGTATTACTGAACTTCTCAAGGTCTAAATCTCATTTAATTGAGGTTTAGATGGTACAAGAGGCTTTTCTTTGCCCTCTCTATCGGGTTTATCTGACCCATCTAAATCCAAATTTAATGAAAATTCTTATAATAACTGTAAAATGCTAAAAAACAAATACCGCCACGCAAAAGTACTGCCAAAAGATTTCATTTGAATGGTAACTTCCTAGGACTTTGTCCACGGTCTCAAAAGTTACAATATTTAACTTCGTAGTCTGCCGATAAAAAAGCGTCATTGCATGGATGAATACAAAATCTCGCGGAAACTTTGCTAACATGGACACCAAGCGAGTGGAACCGAACGAGCAAGGTGGAAGTTTTCAGTATAGGCATTCTTAGTTTACGTCACCAAAAGCGGAACTGTCTCTGGAATACGAACAATAATGAGTTTAGTCTATTTTCACAAAGGAAGCGGCAACCCTTTGTTTTAGTTCTAATATTTGCATCTGTTGACAAAATCTCGGTAATTGTTTTGTTAGTACTCAACAAAATAAAATCTTGACAGTATAAGAATGAAATGACAAAATTCAGTTCAATTGTTTTCAAAGCCGGTAGGTGTGGCAAGTTCATTTTAGCCTACAATAAAACTGCTCTTTTTAGGGTTGTTAGTTGAAGCTGGCATTTTAAAACTTTTGAATTATGAGTAAGCAGCATTTAATCCCGGGATGATGTTATCGAGGGCCGGTTCTTAAATTAGGGTTGTGACAATGTATCATCAACCCAGGGAAGGTTTTGTGTCCAGCGGTTTTTTGTGAAAACAAGTGTTTGTGGGGGTTGCTCAGTCTCGCCGGCTCAAAAAACCTTCCTTAAGTCGATATTACTTTGTATTTGCCTTAATTAGTTTCCATATCTTTAACCGCAGCAGAATTAACTCAGTCAGTAGGGCGCATGGCGGTTCGCGGGGCCGGGCCAACACACTGAGAAATGATGGTACCTCCTTTGCCCTGCGTGCGACTAGACCTTCGCGTGGCTCGGATGACCGCGAAAATGGCGGTCCCGTTTCCAGTTGGAGCTGTTGAATAGTGTTTCCAGTTGGTACTTTCGAACTAAATACATCGACACTCCAATCAAGTCTAGTGCTTTTTAGGGGGGTTCCGGGACTATGGTGAAGTTACCAGCCGAGGTTTGTGGACAACGTTAGGAGCTTCCGACTTTGTCGGAAAATGTAAATTTTCCATATAAGCACTGTGCTCGCAAAACAACTTTGATTGGGGTGGCCTCAACACCACTCAAGCTAGTTTAGTGATACGTGTCGGACATATCTGTGAGTGATAGATATGTGCATGGCGCTTTAAACTATAAGAACTACGGCTGAATACTCGTAACTCATCAAACGAAACTAAAACCTTTTAATATTTGCTAAATTATACGCAAAAATTTAGTTCTATTCTCCAACGATACATCTTGGACAACGTTCACATTTACATTTGACATTTAGTTTCGCTGTACTGTCGCCCGCCCCCTGGAAGGGGACAAGATAGAGCAAGGAAAGCGGCAGGAACAGTCGTCTGATAAACAACTTGAACAAAAACAAACATTTAATTACTTGTTTCCTGGTCATAAGTAATGTTCTCGCAGAAAACTGAATCGACTAACAAGTCTCCTTTCAATAATNAGAGCAAGGAAAGCGGCAGGAACAGTCGTCTGATAAACAACTTGAACAAAAACAAACATTTAATTACTTGTTTCCTGGTCATAAGTAATGTTCTCGCAGAAAACTGAATCGACTAACAAGTCTCCTTTCAATAATATAGAAGGAAATACAGTGTCAGAGAAACGTCCTGATCGACAGATGTCATTGAATATTACGCATTTACGTCTTATAAACAAAATATTTATTCATTATAAACAGTACCATGGGAAAATACCACGTAAAAGCCTACTTTGAATGGCTACTGACCCAACTTTAACTTCAGTCTGAACGAAATCTTGTAACCACTCAAATAAAAACTCTCGGATTTGCTTTCGCATGGTACTTCGATTTACTGAATTCATAGCTAAGCGCTTTAGTTAACAACCCAACGGCTCGAACCGTCAAACACGGCATTATAAACATTCTTAAGTACTATTTACGATGAAGATCGCGCTAACGTTGCCGTACAAGCAGGTTTTTGAAACCCTTCAATATGGTTTCTGGAAAATTTGGGACAATTTTGATGGTTTCATATAATCATATAATGTACAAATAAGTCAAGTGAGATGTTTCTAGGCGGAGTGGTGGATTTGCGCAAGCTTTCTTTAGAGAGGTTTCATGCAAGAAGTCAGTGATAAACCTGTGCCCCTTTAACTGTCTCAATCTAATAGGAGACACTTCAGATCGAAGTTGAATTTAGGTTGGATTTTGAGGACAGGGGACCAAGCGTCCATATCAAAACTCACAAACAGTTTTTGGGCCGGAAATGTTTTTTCTCATCCGATTTTTTATCGATCCTTGGGGCTTTTGTGCAAAAAAGGCCAACACGCTTCTTGATTATGTTAAGGTTTCAAACTTTTTTCCATTTGAAATTTATCAAAGTTTTGAGAAACGCACGCCAGGGAAGACAGCCAAGTTACAAAATCGACCCACACGCGGCATCGACGCTGGGAATTCAACCGAGACATACGTTTTTGCATGTCTCATTGGTGGAACTCCTGGCCCCGGCTGTCTAAAGGTTGGATTGTGCTATCCACCGAAAAAATAGCTTTCCAGGGGACAAGTTGTACGAAGACCAATTGCGTTATCCACTAGATGGTGATTTATCCAGTGGCCATGGATTATCCACCTTTTGAACAACTGGAGCCTGGTCACGTGTTCTTACCACTGCGCCAAACGATTTCATTTCTTCTCCTTTGAAATTGCACGTTAAAGTTGTCAATGATTTACCAACAAAACGTGTTCAAGACATAAAAACGTTGAGCGGCAACGTTATCGCCAACTTCGCTCGCTAACTAAAGTGGCAATTACTTAGTACAGTCCTTGTTTGGCCACTTAGATGAATCACCCGAAACAACATGGGCTGTACCACATAAAGACAGTTACTTCTCAAAGACTTTCATTTAAATTGTAAAACTGAAGATTTTATCCACTATTTCATCATTTCAAAATAATGNGTTACGGTTTCAAACTTTTTCCATTTGAAATTTATCAAAGTTTTGAGAAACGCACGTCAGGGAAGACAGCCAAGTAACAAAATCAACCCACACGCGGCATCGACGCTGGGAATTCAACCGAGACATACGTTTTTGCATGTCTCATTGGTGGAACTCCTGGCCCCGGCTGTCTAAAGGTTGGATAGTGCTATCCACCGAAAAAATAGCTTTCTAGGGGACAAGTAGTACGAAGACCAATTGCGTTATCCACTGGATGGTGATTTATCCAGTGGCCATGAATTATCCACCTTTTAAAAAACTGGAGCTTGGTCACGTGTTCTTACCACTGCGCCAAACGATTTCATTTCTTCTCATTTGAAATTGCAATGACTTACCAACAAAACGTGTTCAAGACATAAAAAAAACGTTGAGCGGCAACGTTATCGCCAACTTCGCTCGCTAACTAAAGTGGCAATTACTTAGTAAAGTCCTAGTTTGGCCACTTAGATGAATCACCCGAAACAACATGGGCTGTACCACATAAAGACAGTTACTTCTCAAAGACTTTCATTTAAATTGTAAAACTGAAGATTTTATCCACTATTTCATCATTTCAAAATAATGGGAGATTTCAACCCGAAAGCTAGAAACAAAGTAAGATAATTTTTTGAAGACCTAGAATGATCTATAGTCTCCCTGTCTGCTACACAGCTGTTTTTAGCGTCGTCACGCAACGCTCCTCCCCACAAAGGGAGGAGAGTGACTACTTTAACAACGGCTGCGAGGGAGACTAAAAAAATCTATTACCTAACGAAATACCCTAGTTCTCTAACCTTCAGTCAGCGAAACAACAGCCTGTTCCAGGCGTTTAGATAGTGGAACGTAGCGCGAAATGAGAAACGGATGGAAAAAAAGCGGAAGAACGTCCATACTATCTGAACGCCTGGAACGCGGGTTCGCGAAGCAAATATCCTCGCTGTCCTTAGGGAGTTTTTATTCCTTCCTGTCTTTTCTTCCTTTACGATTAGATCTTTCCTTCTTATTCTTTTTGCCTTTCTTTCCTTTTTCTTTCTTTCCCTTCCTGGTCTTGCACGCACTTCTGTGTCTAAGTTTGATGGGCCTGTGCTTGTTTCTCCGCGCGTGACACATGGCAACCCGCAAGCGGCAAACATTTGGGTAGGTTTTGCCATCCGTCCCGCACACAGGTTTATCTATGATTTTGCAGTCCTCCCATCTGGGGCATGGTTTAGGTGTGGCAGGTGCCCCACAAGGCCCGTTGTACTCTAAACGTAGTGAGCCTCTGTCTTTCTTGGGCAAACCACACTTGGCAAGAGCAAGAAAGCAGCCATTTTTGTACGTTTTCTTGTCCGAGCCGCAAACAGGCCGTTCTTTCGGTGAGCATTTTTTTGGACATGGTTTGAAGGAGGTGCGGGTACCGCAAGCGCCTAGAAAAAAACAAAGGAGAGTTTCTTTCATGATATAATATTTCGAACTTGAAATGCAAACAAATGTTTCTAAAGCATGTGATTTCAGATGATGGACATTCCAGCAAGTATTTGTTTTTTGTGAACGCCAATCGAGTTTGAGCCATTTTGTAGGTCAGTCGAAGACTAAGACCTCTCTAAACCAAAAGTGCTAAAAAAGACCCACTACCCTCTTGAGTAAATAAATGAACGCTTTTAAATCGAACTAGGGAATTGTAATAACTAATATGTGTTAACATTTAGTGGCGTTGCCTACAAGTGACTTATCCACTCCCCCAACTCAACCAAACTTCCTCGAAAACTAGGACCTCGAAATCTAAGACCTTCTCATTCAAAACTGCGTGATAACAGCATCTCCTTACAACAACACATGACAGGTATATCCAGGTCTTAATTTTCGAGGTCCGTTCTCGAGAGGTCTTAGAGTCTTAACTCTTAAGTCTTTGTTAGCCTGCGAGTAAGTTCTCCATAGGAGAGCTTACTCGCCGGGTAAGTTTTTGTTTTCGAGACAGCCTCCATTTTGTATACTGCAGACAAGAAAAAAGGGAAATCAACATGTCACTAAGAACATACACAGGGGTCTACTTATGTTTTACATCGGCAGATGATAGCATGAATGTTTAGAATTATGAGGATAAAGCTTAAAATTCTACAAACAACTTGAAGTTTACAAAGATGTCACCAAGTACATACATAGGAACCTACTTAATATGTGCTATACCGGCGGAATTTGCAGTGCTGAGCATATTTAAGGCGGAATCTCTATTCACGATTACTGATATAATCCCCTTTACATGCATTCTTAAAGCTACTTCACTGGAACTCGATTACTAACAAAAGAGCGATGATCAAAGTTTTAAGGCATTTCCTGTCGTTGTTTTCAAAATATGTGCCTCCTTTTTTGAAACAACGAACTGTTTCAATTGTTTCTGTTTCAGCAGTCACCGGGTGGAAAAATTTATACAGTGTGTGGTATGACGAAAGAACACTTATGTCAGCCTAATTATCGGAATTTTCAGAAGTTAAGCCTTTAATAGATCTTCCGGATGGCTAGTCCTTGACGCTTTGAAAACTTCATATCACCCACGCACATTGCATGCAAGCTGTTGACAAGTTCCAAATCGGCTTAGGCATTGACTAGTCAGCCCGCAGACGGTTTAAATAATCATTATTTCAGTTTATATTATCTGAAAGAACATTTGTGGGATGTGGAAACTTACTGATACCGGTAATAGTTCAGATTAGACAATTCTTTCTTTTTCCATCAAAGCACTGGTGAATGTAAATTGAGGTAATAGGTGTTCGCTACTGATCAACAAGAATACTGCCTTTGGGTAGGCGCAAAAAATATTCGTTTGCGTAGAAGCATAAAACGCGTTTTTAAGACTGAATTTGAGCGCCACACTGGCTAGACTAACACTGAAAATCTGTCAGCATAAGCAAGCAGATCGACTACCCTGTCCCTCTATGAAGATAGAAAAGGGCATGTCTATCCTCTTTGTATGTATCAATGTACTGTATCAATGAACTGTAAACCAGTAAAATCTACAATGAAAGCAGATTCCTTCTAAAGAAATATGACGGAATGGGCTCAATGAAATCAGTTCAGCTCTCCATCCGATGGAATGATCCACAATCTTGGATAGTTATAAAATAGACGGAAAATTAAGACCCTCCTCGCCCCTAATATCTAGGTTGTTTAGCGCTCGCGCGGAATCATTCTTGATTTCTGGGGGAAGCCGGGCTTAGTTTTCCAAATTGTAGAGTTATATCCATCTAGTCAAGCCTCACGTATGACGTGCTGAAATTATATATTCTGTAAGATCAGTTTGTTACTTTTTAACTTTGTTACACTCTTCATTCAGTTGACAAAATGTTACTACTATACGTAGAATTAAACATTTGAATGACATCGATTACATAACTTAAAGGAGAAACTGCGTGATCTTATATAAAGTTGAGGACTTCATAGAAGACCGTACCCAGCCCATGTGATTTTAAAATAATCTACGGAGAGGCATGGTTTCCATTAAACGTCGCGCGCAGTATTGACTTTGATTGCCTCCACGTGTGAGTAACATACATCGAGGTCAACTCAGCTCAGTATAGCAACCAAATTAAATTAAAGACTGCAAAACCGGAAGGTGAAAAAAACTTCCGCTGCTGAAGGTATCTTTTGATAGTTACCACGTTTTTACTGTTATTTCGCAAACTCGGCAATTTGTTGATGTTGAACAGTATCATCATTTGGAGGAGAGTGACTACTTTAACAACGGCTGCGAGGGAGACTAAAAAAATCTATTGCCTAACGAAATACTCTACCCTAGTTCTCTAACCTTCAGTCAGCGAAACAACAGCCTGTTCCAGGCGTTTAGATAGTGGAAGTTAGCGCGAAATGAGAAGCGGAGGAAAAAATACCGGAAGAAGGAAAGCTTCTCCCTGCCTCCTTTGCCCCGTCCGTACTATCTGAACGCCTGGAACGCGGGTTCGCGAAACAAATATCCTCGCTGTCCTTAGGGAGTTTTTATTCCTTCCTGTCTTTTCTTCCTTTACGATTAGATCTTTCCTTCTTATTCTTTTTGCCTTTCTTTCCTTTCTCCTTCTTTCCCTTCCTGGTCTTGCACGCACTTCTGTGCCTAAGTTTGATGGGCCTGTGCTTGTTCCTCCGCGCATGACACATGGCAACCCGTAAGCGGCAAACATTTGGGTAGGTTTTGCCATCCGTCCCGCACACAGGTTTATCTATGATTTTACAGTCCTCCCATCTGGGGCATGGTTTAGGTGTGGCAGGTGCCCCACAAGGCCCGTTGTACTCTAAACGTAGTGAGCCTCTGTCTTTCTTGGGCAAACCACACTTGGCAAGAGAAAGAAAGCAGCCATTTTTGTAGGTTTTCTTGTCCGAGCCGCAAACAGGCCGTTCTTTCGATGAGCATTTCTTTGGACATGGTTTGATGGAGGTGCGGGTACCGCAAGCGCCTAGAAAAAAAAAAGAAAGGAGAGTTTATTTTATGATATAATATTTCGAACTTGAAATGCAAACAAATGTTTCGATGATGGACATTCCAGCAAGTATTTGTTTTTTGTGAACGCCAATCGAGTTTGAGCCATTTTGGGGGTCAGTCGAAGACTAAGACCTCTCTAAACCAAAAGTGCTAAAAAAGACCCACTACCCTCTAGAGTAAATAAAATGAACGCTTTTAAATCGAAACTAGGGAATTGTAATAACTAATATGTCTTAACATTTAGTGACGTTGCCTACAAGTGACTTATCCACTTCCCCAACTCAATCAAACTTCCTCGAAAACTAGGACCTCGAAATCTAAGACCTCATTCAAGACTGCGTGATAACAGCATCTCCTTTAATACAACAACACATGACAGGTATATCCAGGTCTTAATTTTCGAGGTCCGTTCTCGAGAGGTCTTAGAGTCTTGACTCTTAAGTCTTTGTTAGCCTGCGAGTAAGCTCTCCATAGGAGAGCTTACTCGCAGGCTAAGTTTTTGTTTTCGAGTCAGCCGCCATTTTGTATACTGCAGACAAGAAAAAAGGGAAATCAACATGTCACTAAGAACATACACAGGGGTCTACTTGAATGTTTAGAATTAAGAGGATAAAGTTTAAAATTCTAGAAATAACTTGAAGTTTACAAACACGTCACCAAGTACATACACAGGAACCTACTTAATATGTGCTATACCGGCGGAATTTGCAGTGCTGAGCATATTTAAGGCGGAATCTCTATTCACGATTACTGATATAATCCCCTTTACATACATTCTTAAAGCTACTTCACTGGAACTCGAATACTAACAAAAGAGCGATGATCAAAGTTTTAAGGCATTTCCTGTCGTTGTTTTCAAAATATGTGCCTCCTTTTTTGAAACAACGAACTGTTTCAATTGTTTCTGTTTCAGCAGTCACCGGGTGGAAAAATTTATACAGTGTGTGGTATGACGAAAGAACACTTATGTCAGCCTAATTATCGGAATTTTCAGAAGTTAAGCCTTTAATAGATCTTCCGGATGGCTAGTCCTTGACGCTTTGAAAACTTCATATCACCCACGCACATTGCATGCAAGCTGTTGACAAGTTCCAAATCGGCTTAGGCATTGACTAGTCAGCCCGCAGACGGTTTAAATAATCATTATTTCAGTTTATATTATCTGAAAGAACATTTGTGGGATGTGGAAACTTACTGATACCGGTAATAGTTCAGATTAGACAATTCTTTCTTTTTCCATCAAAGCACTGGTGAATGTAAATTGAGGTAATAGGTGTTCGCTACTGATCAACAAGAATACTGCCTTTGGGTAGGCGCAAAAAATATTCGTTTGCGTAGAAGCATAAAACGCGTTTTTAAGACTGAATTTGAGCGCCACACTGGCTAGACTAACACTGAAAATCTGTCAGCATAAGCAAGCAGATCGACTACCCTGTCCCTCTATGAAGATAGAAAAGGGCATGTCTATCCTCTTTGTATGTATCCATGTACTGTATCAATGAACTGTAAACCCGTAAAATCTACAATGAAAGCAGATTCCTTCTAAAGAAATATGACGGAATGGGCTCAATGAAATCAGTTCAGCTCTCCATCCGATGGAATGATCCACAATCTTGGATAGTTATAAAAAAGACGGAAAATTAAGACCCTCCTCGCCCCTAATATCTAGGTTGTTTAGCGCTCGCGCGGAATCATTCTTGATTTCTGGGGGAAGCCGGGCTTAGTTTTCCAGATTGTAGGGTTATATCCATCTAGTCAAGCCTCACGTACGACGTGCCGAAATGATATATTCTGTAAGATCAGTTTGTTAATTTTTAAACTTTGTTACACTCTTCATTCAGTTGACAAAATGTTACTACTATACGTAGAATTAAACAGTTGAATGACATCGGTTACATAACTTAAAGGAGAAACTGCGTGATCTCATATAAAGTTGAGGACTTCGTAAAAGACCGTACCCAGCCCATGTGATTTAATAATCTACGGAGAGGCAAGGTTTCCTGACCTTTTTTAATTAAACGTCGCACGTAGTATTGACTTTGATTGCCTCCACGTGTGAGTAACATACATCGAGATCAATTCAGCTCAGTATAGCAACCAAATTAAATTAAAGACTGCAAAACCGGAAGGTGAAAAAAACTTCCGCTGCTGAAGGTATCTTTTGATAGTTACCACGTTTTTACTGTTATTTCGCAAACTCGGCAATTTGTTGATGTTGAACAGTATCATCATTGTCCGATGAACATTCTTCCGGATTGGATTCTGCCAAGCTCTTGAATGATTTTTCTTTTCAATCCTCTATTGCAACAGAGTCACTGTAATTGTTGACAACAGCTTGCAGAAGTGTTTTCGTGTTCTATGTTCAGAGTCCAAGCCTCGACCTGTCCCTGTTTTGATTAAGTGAAAACTAGCCTGCGGCGCGCGCGAATTTCGCGGCTTCGCCTCTTGTGCGCCCGGCTCTACAAACCGCCATGCTACGCAGGCTAAGTGAAAACTAAAACGCAACTTTCACCAGGGGTTCATATCTCGTCACAGTTGCTACGTTGACGCCCCGTGCTAATCGTTTTGGACTGAATACGTGCATCTTGCTTGATCAATTAACTCTTAAAGTCAAACGTTCTTGATTTATAATTATAGCGGAAATTTTATTTTGAGCAGATACAACAGCTAACTTTTCAAATTCAAAAGTTTAAATTTCGGTTTACAAGGGTGCGTCAGGCTCGATAAAATTAAGCCGTACTCCCTCATAAAGGCTGGAAATCGGGCCTACAGTTTAGGAGGAAAACTGCTTTTAAACCTAAATCCACAGCCATTTTGAGAGAGAGGTAAAACGGTTCTTATTCCTTGGAGGAAATTCGGTTTTGATTTCCTTTTGGATGACCATTCGCTGAGTAAAATTGATCACCTCAGCATTACTTTTTCGACCAGTTTTGCATGGAAATATGTAGGAAAATCATTCCACGAAGTTTATGCCCTTCATTTGGTGTAGCTTGGAAATGTTTTACTCTTTACAAAACATCTGTATTAACTATTTTTAAAAATAGGTCAAAATAGATTCCTAAAATATGTTTACGGAAATGGGAGACGAAAACAGAAAACATTAGTTCGATTTCCGTTTCCTCTAAGATTAAACAAAATCCATTCACGCTCTTCTAGATTCTATAATCAATAAACAAACTTAATGCTTTTAAGAGTTTCGGTGCCGCCTATAAGGCGGAAGCTCCTAAACGAAACGCTTGTTTTCCTTTCCCTTAAAGTGCAAGAATGACATTCTTTAACACAGAATCTATTTCCGCAGCAGTCTTCTTGAAGGCTTTCCTTTATTTTAGATAATGTGTTCTTCTTGAATATTGGAATTTTTTTTTTCGCTCGTGTTTTCACGACAGGCCAACACAAACAAACCTCCCGCACTGTAAAAACAAAATAGCGGTACGTTCAATGATTGTATTTGATAGCGCTACAAATCAGTGTCGAGTTTCTGCATAGTTCACTCTGTATTTCAAAGCACAGCACAAACCACTTGCCGGAGAATCTTGCTTTCTCTAAAGGGAACAAGTTTATTTTGGAAGGAGAATTCCATGCAATATTTTTCATTGCTTTTAAGCTTCTGCATTTGTTTTTTGCCGCTATCAAGTTATGAATCGACTAAGACATGAGTGACAGTTTTTTTTTAAGGGATTTAACCTTTCAAAAATATGATCTTTGCCTACCGCATAAGGGTCGCAGTTTAATGTTAATAAAAGGTGCGCAGTTTCAAAAATTCAAACGCGGTCTTTGTTTGGATTAATAATTTTGGTTTGCCAGTAACATTTTTTTGTTATTGTACACTCGTTTTTTTTCTATAGGAAAATATTTTATAAGAATATCGAGGCTGAACTTTGCAAAATTTTAAGAATATGTTAAGAATAAACTAGCCTGAGTATCAGGCGTTTCTGGGAAAAAGGGGAAAGATGGAAGCGAAAAAATCTAAAATCTCCTCTCCCCTAGCCCCTTAGGAAGGCCTGATACTCAGGCTAGAATAAACCCGAGGCTGAGATTTCGAAAAGGATGATGATTATAACCGTATCAAATTATTGCTTAATCTCACGGCAACCCAACAAAACGAAGAAACCTGCATTGGTTATAGCCAAACGTTCAGTGCTAATGACAGTTCGATGAGCGGTACATGAAATACATATCTATAATAGACAGCAAAAAAAAAAACCACAAAATAGAAAAAAGGGATATGATAAATTCTTTCTTTTTCAATTATAATTCAAGAATGATACAAGAATATTTTCAGGCTATAATCGGCAGAAAAATAAGAATATTCAGCCTGGCCCGAAAAAAACAACATTCTTCTATAAAACAAGAGTGTATGTGAAAAATGTATTAAAAGAGGCAAGTCCAATTTTATCGTATTTGTATGATATCCCCTTACTACTGAGATAATTAATCAATTAAATTTAATAACGTAAAGATGAACAAAGGCCTCGCTTTGCAGCTTCTAATGAAAACTATCACAAATTCACCTCTTCGGTTTTAGCTTACCTCTCTTTTTAATGCTGAGCTTTTTGTTGTTCACCTTCGCTTGACATTTGGCGACTATGAACAGGCAAGTGTTTTTGTAGGTCTTCTTATCGCTTCCACAAATGGGATCGTTCTGTCTGTCGCACTGGCTTTCAAGCGGGCACATTCTTGATTTTTTGACCTTAGGTTTTCCACATTCTCCCTTGTGCAGCATTGTTAGATTTCTGCCGTTTTGTCTCGCCTGACAGCGCGCAACACGAAAGTTGCAAAACGTTAAGTATGTTATGTTGTTGCTCCCACAGACGGAGTGTCTAGTAGAATTCACGACCTTATTACAGTCCTTTAATGCCACCAAGCACTTTTGCGATTGTTTTTTAACCTTGCTGATATTCACTGTGGAATTCTCGCATTGTCCTCGTGACTTTATCTTCAAAACGTTACCCGTTTTATTAGCTTGGCACTTGGCGTTGTTGAACAGACATACGTTGTTGTATGTTTTGCCATCACTCCCACACACTGGCCTAAGTTTTTTGTTGCAAGGTTTGTTGCAAACTCTTCGACGAAGCTTCGACTTTTCTCTCTTTCCTTCAGCCGCTAACACTGTAACCATAGGAAAGATAGTTTAAATTAAATTGTAATTAACGTTTTTTAATTTGTAACAATGGGTTAAAAATTAAAACTCCAATCTTTTAACCGATTCTACCCTACCATCAAACAAAAGAGAAAAATGAAAGTAATTCCGGTGTTGAACTATCGTAAAATTTAATAAGCCCAGATTCCGGCCGGCGACCCTCACGGCATGTAAACTAAACCCTCGTCTGTCTAACGTTGTTCACGAGCTCTCACAGTTCCTTTTTTAATTAGGGGCATACCATGCTGAACACCTCAAAGTCATGTCATTGTTAAGAACTCTTACAATTTTGACCAACTGATGAAAAAATGTACGGTCTAAGACATGAATCTAACAATAGAAATTGCAAGGGGATTATCTCCTAAACAACCCTTTAGAAAACGATTTACATGAGTTCTGTCAAAGTGAGAACATGAACATTTACACCTCATAAAAATGTTGAACCTGAGAAGAATTGTCATTGCATACGACGACAATCCGGTGGAATGACGAATTAGTTCTCTAAAAGCTGTCGTTAAGTTCCTGCTAAGAAATAATTACTATCAAGTTAAGATATAATATCCACGACGGGCAGATTTTGCGCGCATATTTGTGGACTGACATTTGAAAAGACTTACCGTCTCAAATACGGTAAAAGACATCCGAAAAGACGGAATCTCGAGCAAACCCCCTTCACCGAAAAACTGGACAGGTTGTTTTGAGTCGTTAGATAAACAGAGTTGACAAAGCGCCGCTTAAAGACAGAGAAAAAGATCAGTAACCCGCCAATTCTAATCGTGACATTTTATAGCTTTTTATCGGCGATCGCAATTTCCGAACAGATAGAAAACCGTTTAAACAGTTCATAACCCCGTAAATGTGTTATAGGAGAAGTTGAAAACTCTGTCAGCGGCACTCTTTATCTGCGTTGTTTATGTTGGCTTTGGGTTCTGGAAGTAGCCCGAAGTTAAAAGAAAAATCAGCTTAAATGATATTTTAAGCAAGCACGCGTCGAAAATTCCCTCTTGTAATGTAGATAATGTCAGATACTTGGGCGTAGGTTAGGGGATAATTGCCTTTGTGCGTCTAGCGTTCCAGGGCAAAGAGGGCGGTATTTCGTTCGTGGCTAGCTCTCAGAGCTCTGATACGAGCTGTGTTCAAGCACGCTTTGGGGAAAAATTATAATGACAAATCTGTCCTGGGCTCTGTCCTAGCAGCGCAAGATCAAAACAAAACTGACTTGAAATTGACGAAAAGTTTATACTGGTATATATCGGTACAAAGCTGTACGGAAGTTTATATTGGAAAGGGAATCGAGATTTTGTCAATTAACAACGACGCCTCTTCTTCTCATGAACAAAAAACACTTCAAAAATTACCGTACTCACCTGAAATCAACAGCAATACCGTGAAGAAGAGAAATATTCCCTTCATTTTGAAAATATCAAGCCGCGTTCGCCTTTGTCAACCAAGCTGTCAGCAGATCTTGTCGAGTTGCGTAACGCGTCGAAGGTAGATCTGAAATGATCGCCGAATGCGTCCACTTGCAGCTTTATCCAATCAACCTCTCTACCCTACTCCCCCAGCTAAATGCTTCTGTCCTTGAAAATTCCGGCGGCATTCCATTCATTACAAAGTAAACTTACTGGGGTGTTTTTCTGGTGATAAGATCAGCTGGGTCATACAACTCGTCGCTCGGGTTGTCGCGGTTCTGTACGATAAGAGGCTCAGCTCAATGCGGAAAAGCAGATCCCTGCGATTTTATTTCTCCTCACACCGCTCAAGACCCCTGAAATTTATAAATCATCGTTTCCTATCGCTATTTGTTAAGCCTGGTGTAGACTAGCAAGCATTTAGAAAATGTTTACGAAGGAAGAAAGATGTCAGTCATCGATTGGCCGAGTGGCGCGCGCCTCACGGCGGGAAGGCCAACAAAGCCAGCTGTCGGAAATAGGGAAACAAATCGCCGCACGTACCTGCAGACGTACTGGCATTCTTCTGGGAGATCAGGATAACTTTTTATTATCTTATCTTAACTCTACTTGGTTTAGATTACTAGACTGTTTCCAGCTTTCTTTTGTAATCTTGTGATGCGTCTGATTAAGTTACACTTCTTTTAGGAAAAGAGCACTGAAGAGCAAGTGGTCGGTTTTCATTCAGAACTGTTATCTTCTACGCAGGTCTTAATGTACTTCAAATACGAAATTCGCGGTATTTTCTGATGGTGTTGTGTTTTAGATGTTTCATTGTAGCAGATATTGGATCGTCAAAGCTGTTGACTAACAGCAAAATTTCTTGAGAAACGCACAGTAATTAAAAAGTCATGTAACACCTTGTTCAAAGGTAATTTCTCAATTTTCCAATGATGTCAATTAGCTGGTTTACCGAAGTCGAGGTTTTCTGTCATTTCTTATCGGCTCGTTATGTGTCTTTTCATACTCCCTTGAACAGTGTAACAGGCCAAATTAAAACTGGGGGTCAAACACCCAATGTCTACTTGAAACAGCCAAGAAATGTCCTTCAAAAGCTTCAAAATAAAAGATTTTTACTTCCTATCTATCCTAAATAATATCAGGGTTGGCCAGAAGCGTAGTATTACACCATTATTTATACCTGAAAAATTTATCCAATGTGCCTAAAACTCCCTCCCCCCGCAAAACTTTCTTCCGATATCCAAACCTGAGGGGAAAATCAGAGTATACCGTATTCCCGAAATGAGGTCCGAAATCATTTGATTTCGGGTGAAAGATACTGTATACCCAGTTTAAAAGCCCTTGTATACTGTATACAAAGACCCTGAATTTCAAAATCCGTTGATTCGCTAATGAAAACTGGAAGAAATGTCACTGTCTGTATTTGACCGACCTTTCGTTTTTTTGTAATTTAAAAAAAAAGACGCTGCTCTGACAAACCCCCACTGAAATTGAGTTTAGTCTCTGCATCAAGCCAGCCGAGGGTACTACCTACATAAGCTAATTAAGGCTAATAGCGGCCCCAGAGTTTATTTCAGTAGTTATTTTTTGGTTGGTTTTGGATAATAAAGAAGCTGAATCCAATAGATTTTCCCGTGATCACTTCTTCGTATTCTTCTGTCACTTGCCACTCGTTCACACTGAGTTTGGTAAACCATAATCGTTTCCTTTCTATTGCTCTGCACTGCTAGTCGACATTGCTTCAGGTAATCCGTCTAATTAATGAATCAATTTGCCTACCGACTCAGCAGACGACCCGTCCGCATAATCCATAGAAGACTATATGTCCGGAACTATCGGCAATGTGGCTAGCAAAGTGTATCGTTTTCAGTACTCTCTAATACTTTGTTCTTTCCATTATGTTTTCTTCAATCTACAATCTATGACCTTTTATAACCACGTGATTCTTTTATTTTAAAGAGTTTCTCCTCTATGCATCGAAAGTCGCCGGACAAGGCGCAAGTGTAGTGTAAAAATCTGAGAACCGGAATGACTTCATCGATAATCAAGATTAAGCACTAGGCAGGGACAATAATATCCGAAATGCTTAAACTAACTAATGCTTATGATTCATTATTAAAATAATCTGATTATAAATTGCAAATGCTTGTAAGGTCAACTTTTAATAAAAATGTTTATATTATCATTCTGAAATTGGCTTGTGTCAGTTTAAATAACGGTCACTGTAGGCTGTAGAAACTTTTATTATAATGACGGTATCCAGGCTTGCTGTTTTAACAAAGACCAATTAACTATAATAACAAAATAGCAAAGAACAAAGTAAGAACAAAGAACAAACTTTGAGTATTCCCGATATTTCGAACGGTCAACCCTCGAAGAAGAACGGCTTGACCGTTCGTAGTATCGGGGATACTCAAGTAGGTAAACTGTTTTTTGCTGTTTTGATATTACAGTTAATTTCACTGTAGGCAAACTCTTTTTTTAGAAAAGCCGTGCACAGAAATAAATATATTTTGTGTTGCTTTCAAATCAAAACATCTATGTCCAATTGGTGTTTTTTCGAAATAAATCTATTATAACATAAAAAGAAAAACTAAGGAATGTTGCGCAGTGCAGTTTTGTGTATGAGAATGAAAAGCACGCTCATTTTACAATGTAGGTACACACACAGGGGAGGGGGAAGGGGAAGAAATGCTAAAGGTTTGAGTATACTGAGAGCTGTGTTGTTTGGCAGGCAAGGTTATTTAACAGTTGAAGGAAAGACGGAATTCTGACACTGAGTTAGATCGCTCACTGATTTGTTTGCATGGGTTCGTTCTCATATAAATTGTTTGGCTGTCGCAGAAAACTGCTATAGTTCAAATCAGTTTCCCTTGTCTCTGGCTGAAAGACAATTAAGTTGATTTGATGTTGCTTTTACAATACCCCAGCCTCAGTTCATAAAAGGCCATTTTCGTGTTCCTAAAACTAATTTTGCCACTGGCCCTCAATCAAAAGTGTGACCGGTCGGTTGATTACCGCTAAAATTTGCTCGACGATAGAAAGAAATCTTTAAAATTCATTACACCACTGGACGTTTCATTCTAAAAAAGCACCAAAGTTTCGTTTCTATAACAATAGGCATCTTAAAATCTCCAAATCCAAGAAATCTTAAAATTTCTCAAAGAGGAGATACGTAGCTTTCAGCGGCCTGTTCCGCGTTCACATCACATTTTTAGACTCTTGGCCTTACTGAAGTAGCTATTAGTTCTAATTCGTGATCCGTCCCTGTTATTATAGGCTTATTAAACTAATGCTTATGATTCATTATTAAAATAATCTGATTATAAATTGCAAATGCTTGTAAGGTCAACTTTTAATAAAAATGTTTATATTATCATTCTGAAATTGGCTCGTGTCAGTTTAAAAAACGGTCACTGTAGGCTGTAGAAACTTTTATTATAATGACGGTATCCAGGCTTGCTGTTTTAACAAAGACCAATTAACTATAATAACAAAATAGCAAAGAACAAAGCGACTTTGAGTATTCCCGATATTTCGAACGGTCAACCCTCGAAGAAGAACGGC